GACAAAATAGGATTGGGGATGTGGCTCAGTGGTCGAGTGCCCCTGAGTTCAATCTCCAATCCCCCCAAAATAAAGTGTGGCTGAGTGGCATTGTTTAGGTTCCAACCAGCTACTATCTGCTGTTTGGCGTTGGGCAAATTCTATAACATCTCTGGGTCTTTGTTGTTTCTTTCTTTTTTTTTTTTTTTTTTTTGGTACCAGGGATTGAACCCAGAGGCACTTAACCGCTGAGCCACATCCCCAGCTCTTTTTTATATTTTATTTAGAGACAGGGTCTTGCTGAGTTGCTTAGGGCTTTGCTAAATTGCTGAGGCTGGCTTTGAACTCAAGATCCTCTTGCCTCAGCCTCCCCAGCTGGGATTACAGGCATGTGCCCTGTGCTCTGCAGTTGTTTCATTTGTAGAATGAGCATCAGAAGAGAATGTTTTGTAGGGTCATTGAGAGGATAAGATGAGACAGGTGTGTGAAGTATTTATCACCATGCCTGACACAAAATAAAGACTCCCTAATTATTAAGTATTATTACAAGCCATTTAGGTAAAAACCAGAAGGTCTACTTATTGTATTGTTGGAAGGAAAACCATTCTTTTGTAACCACCAAACCAGACATTTGTTCCACAATATACTGTGACCATATTTTCTGAACCCCCAAACCATATAATCTGGCAGAGATTTTTTTATATTTGTGAATTTTATTTTATGGGAAGTACAAAAGTCATGCATTTTTAAAAATATTTTTAAGTTTAGTTGGACACAATACCTTTATTTAATTAATTTATTTTTATGTGGTACTGAAGATCAAACCCAGGGTCTGCACATTCGAGGCAAGAGCTCTACTGCTGAGCCACAAGCCCAGCCCAAAAGTCATGCATTTTATCTACAAATAAACAATTGACTATCAGAGGTAAGATCATACTCAAATACGTGGAAAGACATGAATCTTCATTCTCTCCAAATGCTAGCAGGGTCTTTAAAATATTGACAAGAAATTCTAAAGTTCATTTGGAAAAAAAAGTGAGTGGGTCCAGCCAAGAAGTTTTGAAAAAATAATTAAAACAAAAAACCCGGGTGCAGCGGCCCAGGTCTGTGATCCCAGCTGTTCTGAAGACTCCTGGACAGGAGGCAGCATGGGGGACTAGGCAAGACCCTGTCTCAAAACAAAACAATTTTTAAAAGGACTGGGGATGTAGTGCAGTGGTAAAGCACCCTGGGTTTAATTCCCAGTATGGACTCAAAAAACAAAACAAGGGCTGGGGTTGTAGCTCAGTGGTGGAGTGCTTGCCTAGCATACATGAGGCACTGGGTTCGCAACCCCAGCACCACATAAAAAAACTAAATAAACAAAATGAAGGTATTGTGTCCATCTACAACTAAAAATATTTTTTTAAAAATACAGAATCTGTACGTGGAGAGAGAATGACTAGGTACTAAAATTAATTTTCTGTGGAAAAAAACTACAACTAGAATGTAATTTGGGGATGGGCGTGGCTTCTCAACAGGAATCTAAAGGGAGAAATCATAAAGACTGATAGGTTTTAGCACATAAAAATGAACCGTTCTTCAGAAGTTAAAAAAATCAAGGCTGGGGATGAAACTGCTGGTTACCGGTTCTTCTTCCTCAAGCATGTTGAAGCACATTGAAGCAAGCATATAAGGCAGGGTTTGGGCTGGGGATATAGCTCAGTTGGTAGGGTGCTTGCCTTGCATGCATAAGGTTCTGGGGTTCGATCCCCAGCACCAAAAGCAAAACAAACAAAATATAAACCAGGGTTTGTTTAAAAAGGGGTAACAGACTTCTCCTGGGAGGGAGAAAGGGGCCATAGCTGGTATCCTGGTTTCCYGGGAAGTGAGTGCCTTCTGCCCTATTTATTTATTTATTTAGGCTGTGGGGTGTGTGTGTGTGATGGTACTGGGGATTGAACTCAGGGGCACTCAACTACTAAGCCACATCCCCAGCCCTATTTTGTATTTTATTTAGAGACAGGGTCTCACTGAGTTGCTTAGGGCCTCGATTTTTGCTGAGGCTAGCTTTGGGTTTGCCATCCTCCTTCTCAGCCTCCCCAGCCACTGGGATGTGCACCACCCTGCCGGGCATTCTGCCTTTTAAAATATGTCCTAGGTTTCCTTTGTTCTCCTGCTCTCTTTCCCTTATTTCTATCCTTCCTGCTTATGTGACTAGGCCCAGGAGATGTTCAGTGGGATGGCCAAAAGGTGAGAAGCAGATGGGCTGGAGGGGCCAAGGTGGAGAGATCTGGGCAAGAAGGGGGTGTAATTAACAACTTTTAACTCTGAAGACAGTAGTATTTCAATCCCTCTCCAACTTCCCAGACCCAAATTGGCCTCCTTGATCTGACCTGATTTACATATATATATATWTTTTTTTTAATAGAGAGAGAGAACTTTTAATATTTATTTTTTAGTTTTCATCGGACACAACATCTTTGTTTGTATGGATCCAACCCGGGCCGCACGCACGCCAGGCGAGCGCGCTACCGCTTGAGCCAAATCCCCAGCCCCAATTTACCTATCTATATTGACTGCTTCTTTTAATTCTGGCTTCAGGGACCTGCACCAATGGTAGAATGCTTGCCTAGCATGAGGAAGGGAGGCACTCTGGGGAGGTGGAGGGATGTTCATGTACAGTATGAGAAAACACATTTGCAAGACAGTAGTTAATACTTGCAACTTTATGCACAATCCCCCAAGCAGTGAAATCCACTTCTCAGCTTACTTTTTTCCTTTTTTTTTTTTTTTGGTGGTGCTGGGGATTGAACCCAGGGTGTGTGCACGTGAGGCAGGCACTCTAACAACTGAGCTGCATCCCCTGCCCTCAGCTTGCTTTTTTTTTTTCCTTTCTTTCTTTCTATTTTTTTTTTTTTTGCAGTGCTAAGGATCAAACCCAGTACCTTGCCTATGCTAAGCAAGTGCCCCATCACAGAGCTACATCCCCAGCCCCAAACTTTCCAAATTTTAAAATGAACAAACAGAAAAAAGAGAGCAAAGGGACAAAAATTCACAAAAGATACAACACAAACTGGCAATAAATAACCATGTGAAAACAATCCAGAGGCTGGGGTGGTAGCACCCAACTGTAATTCCAGAACTTGGGGGGCTGAGGTGAGAGATCACTTCTGCCAAGGAGTTCCAAGATCAACCTAGGCAACACAGCCAGGCTCAGTCTCAAAAACAAAACCAAACCCAAAACAATCCAGCTAATTAGAAATCTAAGAAACACAAATCAAAACAATGAGAAATAATCATTTTAAATTAAATTTGAAAAAAATCTCCAGTGTTGTCAAGGCTGTAGAAAAAAAAATAGCCACTTTTCAGGAAAAACTCATAAATTTTCCTGTTAATTTAGAAAACTCTTTAAAAATATGCCTTGTTTTTGACTCATCACTTCCCTACTTCTAGAATTTTGAAATAAGACATGAATCTATAAAGGATATTAAGAGAAAATTTGTTAGAAATTTATTTGTACGTTTATGTAGCCTTTAAGAATCGTGATGTAAAAAACAAAATCTCTTTTAAAAAATTGGAGAAGATTTGGGCTGGGGTTGTTTCTCAGTGGTAGAGCACTTGTCTAGCATGTGTGAGGCACTGGGTTCAATTCTMAGCACCACATAAAAAATAAATAAAATAAAGGCATTGTGTCCACCTATAACTAATAAAAATATTTTTTTTTTAAATGTGGAGTAAATTCACGCTAATGGGTTAAGTGAAAAAAGGCAGACTTTATACCAGGCATCACCCCAATTATGCCAAACATGAAATAAACATGCATAGAAAACACACCGGAGGATACATATCAAACTATCAAATGCAACTGGAGGAGGTAGAAAGCATGAGGGATCTTGATGTTCCCTTATTTCCTATTTATGCAGCAGATTTTAAAGTGTTTTAAAAATAATGGTACAATTCAAAATTTGTCTTTGTTGAAAGCATTAAAGGAGAGGAAATTGTATTAGCCTGGAAACCCCAGGAAGTGTTTTCTTTGGAAAGCCAAGGCCACCTGCTAGTGGGTGAGTCACTGGCACAGGTTTACACCTGCCTCTGCAGACGCCACCCGGGCTGCTGCGCATTTCCAACCGAAATGACCCACGTGCGCAAATGACCACCTTAGTCGTTGCCCTGCGTCTGGCCCGAGGCCACAGGTAGCCAGGCAACTCCTGCTTTTTCTTAGTATCGGAAATAGAGGGCCTTTTAAAGTTCACAAGATCTGGCCTTCCCATTCATTCTCCACTTTGGAACAAATCCGAGGCCGCAGACCTCAGGTGCGCCGCTGTGGTCCCGGGTCCGCCGCGCGCTGTCGCGCACACAGAGGCCAGGGGTGCGCGGAAGTCGGGAAGCCGCAGGCAGGCGCTGCCTAGGCGAGGCCCCAGGCTCGACGCTCAGGGGGCAGCAGGCGCCCTCTCTGAAATCTCCCTACGAGCTTCGAGCCCTTAATCCTTGAGTGCGGACCAACCAGACCCAGCGATCACTGGCCGGCCACGCGGTCGCTCAGGAGCGCGCGTCCCCTGCAGGGACAAAGGGTCAGGAAACTTGAGCCCCTGCTCTCCGCCGAAAACCCTGGCTGGTGGTCACCACAGCAACCGGGTGCGGCCCTCCCGGGCAGGCCCCCGCGGGTGGGGTGCAGAGGGGTGACCCGGCCCCGCCCCGCCCCTAGGCCGCGGCCGCCGAGCCGGCGACTGACCCTCGGCAGCTCCTGTAGTCACGTGGCGCTGGGAACCCGGCGGGGGGGAGGTTGGGGACGGGCCTGGCAGTTGTGAACTCGAACCTGCCGCTGTCGCCGCGGCCGGGCTGGGAGCGGGCCGCGGAGGCCGGCCTGGGGCTCCATGGACGGGCGCGGCGCCCCTGCAGAGCCTGCGGGAGAGGTACGGCCCGGACAGGGGCGCGGGGGGCGCTGCGGGCCCGCGGGGGCGGCTCCACCTGCGGGGCGCGTGACCGTGAGTGTGCGCGGCTGTGGGTGTGCGGGGGGCCTGCGGGCGGGGGCGAGCGCACCTGCGCACAGGCTCCGCCGTGCGTGGGACCCGAAATGGCTCTGTCGTAGGAGCGGGACCCGCGTGCCCGTGAACGCGGACGGAGGGCACGCACCAATACAAAAGCGGGGTGTCGGCCTTCCACCACCCTGGGCCGTCCAAGTTGCCGAAGGGGATTCTGGCAGAGTCCTGGTCACTCTGGCGCGCCCTGGGCAGCCCCATGGGAAACAGGCCTGGAATTCCTGTAGGGAGAGTGGGGGAAGGGGAGCCAGCAGGGATTCCAGAGTTACTGCTCTGGGCCGGCCTTTGGCCACCAGGAAAAGACTCCTGCCACCGAATAGAGAATTCGTTCTGTGACCTTACCGGGGGAGGAGGTGACCCCCAAAGGCAGCAATGCGCTTCATTAGTGAAGAGCGACACTCATTTGAACATTCAGGATCCATTAAGGTCACTGTCACGCAGGCTGTGGGGCTTAAGGCTGGAGCTGTGGCTTTGTTGGGGGAGGGTTGGACACTGGTGAGAACACAAAGATGACGCCCCAGAACGCAGAGCCTCACATATGTTTTCTCTCCCCTCCCCACAGGTAAGGCTGGCCTCTCTGCAGTCAGAGGTCTGAGCTCTGCCATGGGGGTAGGGGTGTCTTTATTGCTGCAGTTTTCTCTGACATCTGGGGGCTATCGGAGTGTGGGCCGAAGCAGGCGCTGCAGCCGCAGAAGTATCCCCAAGAACATCCCCAGGAAGAGCTGGAAAAAGCCTCATCCCCAGCTCTGCAATCTTCAGGGTAGAGTCTGGCCCTTATGTTCCTAAACCACCTTACAGCCCCAAAGCTCAGTCCTCCCTATCGGGGCAGAGGAATAGGGCCTTTGGGCGAAGGACCCCTTTCTCATCTTCCTGTGTGCTCATTCAGTCCTCAGAGGATGAGTCACGTCTGTATTCCCCCAGAGAACAGACTGTAGGGAATTTAGGGACTGTGTCTGGATGGAGCCTGTGAGCAGGTACAGGAGGTCCCTTAGGAGGCCAACTGCCATCCCAGCCGTCATTCTGTGTAGGCGGCTCTCCAGCAGGAATCCGAATTCCCCAGAGCTGTGGAAGAACTGAACATGGGCAGCCCTTGACCAGGTTGGGGCAGGACTAGGCAGGGGACAGAGATTACCATCTCTTTCTTTCCCCCTCTTTTGCCCCACTAATCCCCAGCACCCCAAGGGAATCAGAGCCAGGGATTGCTCCCTCCCCCCAGGGCAACGGTCTGTGGGTGTTCTTTGGATCAGGAGAGCTCTGCGGTGTACTAATAGTGTGTGTGGGTGGAGGAGGACAGGCGGGCAGATTGTGGGCAGTCTGGACAGGCGGTGGCCTGGCATTAGTCTGTGCTGGGAGTGGTGCCCCAGGCTCCCCTCCTGTCACCAAGAAAGGCTGTTCTCACTCTCCAGGCTGCTGCCCAGAGAAGCTGAGGTTGGTGAGGCTTAAACTACCTCCCCTGTGGCCTTGCAGGAATGAAAGGTTATAGCAATTTATTTTTGCAACATCTTGCAAACTCAGGTCTTTGAAAGGAAAAAACACTGCCCTGAAAGTTTAGAAGACCTGTCCCTCAGTCCTGGTTGTGCTTTTGGTTTACAGTGTCACCTCAGGCAAGGCCCATCCCCTTTTGCTGCCTCACACTTGCATCATCTGTCAACCAAGGCACTCCGTGACTGCTCAGCCAGCCTCTCCAAGTTGCTCAGAGCTCAAATGTGGCAATAGGAAATAGCAGACACATGGAAAGGCCACAGGGAAGCTTTGAAAAGGCATAGGGCACTGTAGGGAGATGTGACCATATTTTCTGGTGAGTCCTGTGGCTGGAGTGTTTGTGCAGCTGACCCTGGAAGTTTACTCACCTCCTGACACTGGGGTAGCTGTCACAAGGGGATTCCAAGAAGTGTCAGTATCTCTCCCTTCTGAAAGCTTCCGGGGCAATAAAGATACAAGATAAATATCCTTGAAATGTTACCTAGAAATCCAAGATTGAAATAAATAACCTACAAGGAATTAAGAGAGTCTAGATTGGTGTCAAGGGCTCTGGGAGTCCATAGAGGGTGGGCTGCTCTTGGGGTCTGGGGTCTCCTAGGAGGAAAGGAACTGGGGTGGAAGTCTTGGTCTCTGGAGTGACTCTGCTTTTCCACCCTCAGCAGAGGAAGAGCCAATGCTGGAACGGCGCTGCAGGGGCCCCATGGCCATGGGTCCAGCCCAGCCCAGGCTCCTTTCAGGGTCCTCCCAGGAGTCACCTCAGACCTTGGAGAAGGAGTCCAGCGGGCTGAGGCACCAGGGCACTAAACTGGCCCAGTCAGGCAGTCAAGCCCTAGGCAGGGCCCGTCGCTGTGCCCACTGTCGAAGGCACTTCTTGAGCTGGGTGGCCCTGTGGCTTCATACCCGAAGGTGCCAGGCACGGCTCCCTCTGCCCTGTCCTGAATGTGGGAGGCGCTTCCGCCATGCCCCCTTCTTAGCACTGCACCATCAGGTCCATGCTGCTGCCACACCAGACGTGGGCTTCACCTGCCACCTCTGTGGGCAGAGCTTCCGAGGCTGGGTGGCCCTGGTTCTGCATCTGAGGGCCCACTCAGCTGCAAAGCGGCCCATTGCTTGTCCTGAATGTGAGAGACGCTTCTGGCGACAAAAGCAACTTCGAGCACATCTGCGGCGGTGCCATCCCCCTGCCCCTGAGGCTCGGCCCTTCATATGTGGCAACTGTGGCCGGAGCTTTGCCCAGTGGGACCAGCTGGTTGCTCACAAGCGGGTGCACGTGGCTGAGGCCCTGGAGGAGGCGGCAGCCAAAGCTCTGGGGCCAAGGCCCCGAGGTCGCCCTGCTGTGACCGCCCCTCGGCCTGGTGGGGACGCCGTGGACCGCCCCTTCCAGTGTGCCTGCTGCGGCAAGCGCTTCCGCCACAAGCCCAACCTGATCGCCCACCGCCGAGTGCACACTGGCGAGCGTCCCCACCAGTGCCCAGAATGCGGGAAACGCTTCACCAACAAGCCCTACCTGACCTCGCACCGTCGCATCCACACTGGCGAGAAGCCCTACCCGTGCACTGAGTGCGGCCGCCGTTTCCGGCACAAACCCAACCTGCTGTCGCACAGCAAGATCCACAAGCGGTCTGAGGGCTCCGCTCAGGCCACCACCGGTGCTGCGAGCCCCCAGCTTTCAGCCGTGGTGCTGGATCCCACGGCAGAGCCCGGCCCTGAGAAGATTGCTCCGGAGCCCGCGGCGGAGCCTCCACCTGAGGCCCCCTTGGAACCCCCACGGGACCAGGCCCAGGCGACCCCATCCCTGTACAGCTGCGACGACTGTGGGCGCAGCTTCCGGCTGGAGCGCTTCCTGCGCGCGCACCAGCGGCAGCACACCGGGGAGCGGCCCTTCACCTGCGCCGAGTGCGGGAAGAACTTCGGCAAGAAGACCCACCTGGTGGCGCACTCCCGAGTGCACTCCGGCGAGCGACCCTTTGCCTGCGAGGAGTGCGGGCGCCGCTTCTCCCAGGGCAGCCACCTGGCCGCCCACCGGCGCGACCACGCCCCCGAGCGGCCCTTCGTCTGCCCCGACTGCGGCAAGGCTTTCCGCCACAAGCCCTACCTGGCCGCCCACCGGCGCATCCACACGGGCGAGAAGCCCTACGTCTGCCCCGACTGCGGCAAAGCCTTCAGCCAGAAGTCCAACCTGGTGTCCCACCGGCGCATCCACACGGGCGAGCGGCCCTACGCCTGCCCCGACTGTGACCGCAGCTTCAGTCAGAAGTCCAATCTCATCACCCACCGCAAGAGCCACATTCGGGATGGCGCCTTTTGCTGTGCCATCTGTGGCCAGACCTTTGACGATGAGGAGAGACTCCTGACCCACCAAAAGAAGCATGATATCTGAGAAGGGCAGGGGCTGTGGGGGACGGAGACAGGCCCTGGGCTCCTTCGCAGCAGGAGTGTGGCAGTGGCTTGGGTAGCTCGTGTTGGAGCTGGTGATGGAGAGGGATGCGAATTCAGAAGGGAAAGAAGAGGCGGGAGTGAGCTGGGCCCGGTTAGTGAGGGAGTAAACCCGGATGGCCAGAAAAGCCCCTTAGAGCCGTGTTTCCAACATTCACCTGACTGTTCTATGCCCTGGAAAAGTAGCAATAGCAGCTCCATTTACCCTTAGTGCCCTTGGCTACAGGAGCCACCGGTGGGAAGGAAGAGTCCATCCTCTGGTGTTAACGCCTTAATGTCCCAGTCTTTATATGAGTTACTTCAGGTCACTTTTGAAAATAGGTGTGGTACAGTCCTTAGTAAAGGAAAGCTCGGGAGGAAAAGTGGACCAGCTGGATATGCCTTGGAGAACCTGCTGGCCTTGTCAGGCAGCTGGGGCCTCTTCAGCCCAAGAGATGAAACTAAGCTGGTTTTACCTGTGCCCCCTTCCTGATGCCCCTGCTGAAATCCCAGGCGTGCAGAGGCCCATCTACTGCCAATGATTCAATCCTCTTCTTCCCTGAAGATCACCTTCCCAGGCGTTTCCTCCTTGGTCTGTCTGGCTTTATCTAATTGGCCCTGCCAGGGCTGACCCTCTTCCACTCTTTCCAAAGCTCATTGTGGAAGGAAGGACTGGCCCACTGATGCTGGAGGGTCAGCTGAAGGGAAGATCCTGGTTGAGGGTCCTTTTCAAGATTTCCAGCATGTGGATATTAGCCTTTCCTGGTGACAGGGAGCTCCCACCTCCTGAGGCCCTGGTTCTATTGTAGGATGATTCTAATTGCTAGAAATTCTTCCTTATAATGATCGAATTTTGCTTTCCTATAATTTCTATCTATTGGGCCTTGTTCTGTTCTCTGGATCTAAACAGAACAACCACTTACCCTCCTTTTCAGACTAGAGAATAAAGATTTGGTTTTAGAACTGGTGGCTGGGGAGTGTTCCTTTCCCTGGGGACTGTGGAGTTGGAGGGAGGAACATGGCTCTTCTTCCTGGGAAGGAAGGGCTGTGTGAGGCTTTGGCAACAGCTGAGGGCTTCTACACCCTCCTTCTAGTCCTCTCCTGAGGAGGTGGCCAGCAAACCAGAAAGTTGGGCTCAGTCTCTGGGTGGTGGGCCAGCGTTCCAGTTAACTGAACCAAGATATTGGTTCCTGCTAGGTTGTGATGCACATGTTTAATCCCAGTGACCAGAGGCTGAGGCAGGAGAGTTGCAAGTTGGAGCCCAGCCTGGACAACTTGGCAATATCCTGTCTCAAAACCTAAAAAAGGGCTGGAGGTATAGCTCAGTGGTAAAGTGCTTCTGGGTTCCATCTCTAGTACCCTCCTCGATGATAACTGGTTTCTGGTCACTGACCCACTGAGGTGAATCCAGGGCCACCATTGTCATTCTCACCACCTGGCCTTCCAGTAACTTCAGCTAGCATTGACAGTCCTTTTGGGGGACAGTGGGACATACAGATTTAGGTTAGACTTGCAGCCCCTCCCTGCTAGAGGGTTGACAACATGACAAAGGAGTCTCTGGAAGGATAGGCAATTCTGAGCAGTAAGGACAGTTCCCAGCTTGCATATCCCACACACGTTGGGTGCAGATACACATGGCCAGGTGTTCAGCCTTCTTTGAGGCCAGGTCAGACTTCTCAGGTGCCAGTTACCAGGAAAGAAAGGGAAAGATTTGATTGTGTCCTGTGGGATCTCACTGGCTCACTGCTGCAGGTCCTTCACTGTGTGTTCCTCCCATATGGGGAGGAATATGGGGATTTCCTACATATTTGAGTGTCAGCCATCAACAAGCGCATTTATTTTTGCTTATATTAGAAATCTCTGCACTTATCCCCAGCACCCAGCACAGAGTGGTGCTTAAGAATAGCCACCATTTGCCTATGGCACCCGCAGGGAAGTTCCCCTACACCGACTCATGTGATCCTTGTGCAGGGGGTGTCTTGTTTGCCTTTTCAACATGAAAACATTTGCTCGGGGGTCATGTAACTGGCAGTCACCACAGGCGATTCAAGCTCAGGTCTGTCTGGCTCCTGAACCTGTCCCTTTTCATCACCACCACATACTTTTTGGATAAATTGAGTTTGCTGCTGCTTTTGGTTAAGGTAAGTATTAAATGCCTACTATGTACTTGATGTGATAGAAATGGGTTTCAAAGATCAGAACTACTGTGAGGTCTCCAGACCCCTGTGAGGCTTGGGTCTGGAGAGGATGAACATAGGTACAAAGTGAAGAGATGGACAGAGGCGAGTAGGGCTTAGTGTGTGGGATGGAAGCCAACACCTTCAAAGCTTCATATTGATTTGGGGAGTATTTGGGCCACTTAGAAACCTGTGTAGTTGCTGGGTGTGGTAGCTCATGCCTGTAATCCCAGCAACTTGGGAGGCTGAGGCAGGAGGATTTCAAGTTCAAAGCCAGTCTCAGCAACTTCGCAAGATCTCAAGCAACTTAGTGAGAACTAGTTTCAAAAAAAAAAAAAAAAAAAAAAAAAGTTGGGGCATTGGGGATGTGGCTCAGTGGTTAAGTGCCCCTGGATTCAATCCCTGGTACTAAATCAAAACCTGTATAGTTGAAGGCAAGATATCTGTCAGAACCTGAGAACACAGGGCATAGTCTCAAGAATGTCCATTGGCCATCTGCCTCTTTTAGGGAGTATATGGGTTCCAGTGGGCTGAGGGGACAGGGAATCAGATCAGGGGTACTAACCTTAAGAAAAATCTTTCTTTTTCTTTTTTTTTTTTTATGATGTTGGGGATTGAACCCAGGGCCTTGTGCATGTGAGGCAGGCACTCTACCAACTGAGCTATATCCCCAACCCCAAGAAAAATTGTCATCTTAAAGGGACTTGACCTGGGTGTGAGGATGGGTATTGGGTGTCCCGTGTTATGCTGCCCACTGTTTGGGGTTGAGTTGGTAAGGAGAGGTCTGAAGGACAGAGAAGGCCACCTGGATGGTCTTGAGGAAGCTGGGAAAGTAGAGACAGTGGACTTGCCTCTGGTTCCTTCCTGAGTTTTTCTGAGGAGCCAGTGGTTCCCAAGCCCTTGCTCAGCATTCGTGCAGACAGCGGTCACAGGGGAGGGCTGGCCAGGCAGGAGGGGTCAGAGCTGTCTCAGGAGCTTCCCTTCTCTTCTGAAAAACTGGCAGTTTTTCTTTTTTTTTTCCCTTCTACACAAAAGTGTTGAATTATCTTTTTAAATGTTAAATAATGCAGACCTGTTTATAATTTTAATGTGAAAGTCCTGTACCTCCTACCCCACAAGTGTTTCTCTACACTGTGGTAAGAGCTTGGGGTCTTCCCCAACCTTTTTTCTCTTAAGAAGCCTTCTCTTATTTTATTTTTTAGCTTAATGAGAATAGGTTCTCAGATGTGCTTCATTCTCTCTACCCCTGAAATGCCCTTGGCCAAGGAATGTCAATTTGGAGAAGTCTGTCACTCTGTAGAGGAGGAAACAAGCTCAGAGTGGAAGTGACCTCACAGGGTCAGTCACACTCGCTGCTGGAAGACCTGAAGCAGGACTGAGTCCTAGGAGCCTTTGTGGCTCCTCCTCCAGAAAGTAACCCTGTGAGGGAGACCCTGAAGGGTAGACTGCTAGTGAAGAGCTCTGCAGTCTGGGTTTTATGAAGCACAAGTGCTTCTGTCCTTTATAACCAAATATAACTGTCAAGGCCCAGTAAGATATGTGGGCAACTAGAAAATTATTAACTATTTTACAGATGAATAAAATCAAAGTCCAGAGACAGAAAAATAGCTTTTGTGAAAATTGTACTTGAAGCAAGTGGCAAAAYGAAGAGAATCTTGACCCTCAATTTCTATTGCGCTTCTGAGCCTGAACAGCAGCTAGGCCTGAAGCAGATGCCTCATCCCGGGTTGACTGGTTAAGGAACATCAGGTCCACCTCCTTCACAGGGCTGTCAGAGAGCAGCCCCTCTTCTGTTTATTTGAATCCTGCCTCCATAGGCAATTTCTCATCAGCTCTGCGGACAAACCTGCCAGTGGGAGTTGACCCAGTCTTGTCCCCTTTGAGGAATAAGTGAGAGGGATTTCCTTCCAATCGGGGCTACATTTTCCCAGAGGGCTCTGGGAACTGTATACCCTAGTTGGCCATCTGGACCAGGTTAGCAGCTGGGAGATGATCCCATTTATCACAGCCCTAGTGAGCGCGGTGAAACTAGACCTGGTAACTTAACCCGATCAGACCCTGTTTCCCCAGCTAGAAACCAAGGGGTTGAATGCATCCGTTTCCACGGTCTCGCGTGGAGCGCCCTAAACATTATCACCAGGCACTGCTGGGGRTTCCCTCTGCACACGCACGCACCGGGCACGTGCACCTTCCTGCGATGTGTGCAGCACCACCCAGGGAACACAGGTTCTCAGGGAGGAAAGAAAAAGGACGACAGAGTAAACATGAGCTCGAGGGGAAGTCTCAGAGCCGGGGCTTCTTTGTGGTTCGGGACGGTTTCCCAGCACAGACACCAGTGGCTGGCAACACTCGGGGCGAACTGACTACCGAACCCGTACGCGCGCCCTGAGTTCAGACATTAATACGCGCAAGTGCGGGAAGTGGGGCGCGCCGAGGCCGAGAGACTGGTCTCAAGGGCAGGACGGACAAGGGCGCCGTGATGCCGCGCGGTCACCAGTGGCTGGACCGCGCCTGGCCTCCTCCTCACAGCCCTCGGCGCACGCGTTTGCTGCGCGGGGCCGCGCGCCCGCGGGGCGAGGTCAGCCCCCCCGGCTATTGGCTCTGGAGAACAAAGGGGCCGCCCCGCGGGCTGCTTCGATAGGGCCGGGCGTGTCATCTGAGCCGCACAGCCAATCGGGTGGCCGGACGGCCTGGGGGACGGCCAGGACCACCAGCCAATCAGGTGCGCGTGCCCTCCCCGCCTGCCCCGGGACTGGCCAGGGCCGGGAGCCCGGTGCCCAAGTCGCCCCCGGGGTGGCAGTTCCCGTTAACCTTAGCTACAAAGTCAAAGGTATTTATTTCCCCGGCCCCCTCCCTCCGAGTCCCTCTGCATTTAGGGCTGGGAGGGGCAGTGAGAAGGATGGCCCGGCGCCCGGCCCCGCTCCTCCCGCGCTGCCCCACCCGGCCAGGGCTGGAGCGGAGGGAGGGGGCGCGGGCCTCCGGGAGCCCCGCACGTCCCGGTGCACCGGGCCCCAAACTTTCTCCATCCCACACAGCCGAGGGGGAAAGGACCCGGCCCGGGGTGGGGAGGGCCGCAGGACAGGGCAGCGAGGTCAGGAGGGAGGCCCGTAAGCATGCGAGGGAGAACCTAATGGTGAGCGGAGGGTCTCCTGTGCACCGCCCCTCCTGACCTGGTCTGTTGTTCTGAGTTCCCTGTCTGTGTCCACCTCCCCTGTAGATCAGCTTTCTGGGGGCCAGTGCTCTTTGCAGAAAGACTCATAGTAGGTGCTCAATAAGTGTGCGATTAAATGAGCGGGGTGGTGGGAGGTGGAACTGGAGGTAAAGAATAGTGAGAGGAAGGCACCATAGAAGTTGCAGCTGTGTGCATGGTCTTCCCAAACCTCTGTTCCAGGAAAATGAGCACTGCTGTCAGATCTCCGTGGTTTGGGATGGGCTGGGAGGGGGCTTCTTCCTCTGTAAAGGTGGGGCATGTAGAGATGCTGCCTCCTTCAGGGCTGGATGGAGTGCGGCTGGAGTTGGGTGTGGTCTAAGTCCAAGGGTTGGAGGCTTGGAGGCAAGTTGACAGTCCAGGCTCCRCTTTAATGTTCTTCTCGAATCTCCGTTTTCATCTACAAAATGAAGAGATTAGATGTTATTTGTTCTCTTTTAGCACCAAGATTCTAATTCTGAGCTTCCAATCTGTTTTAGACTGAAATTTCTTTTATTTGAATGTACCCTTATAACAAGGCTTAGTAATGGTTACAGTGCGCAYGGCCTGTAGTGGGTACCAGGAGATGGAAGCACCCCTGTGTTCCTGTGTTAAAATTCTTTAATTTTGTTGCAGAGACAGAAAAAGGTCYTTTTTTGGGGGGTGGGGGAGATCGGGGCAAGTGATGAATTGAACTCAGGGCCTTGCATATGCTAGGCAAATGCCCTACCACTGAGTTCCTTTTTTATATATTATTTTGAGACAGGGTCTCCTTAATTGCTGAGGCTAGCCTCGAAATTACTATCCTTCCTTAGCCTCTTGGGTAGCTGGAATTACAAGCATGTGCCACTACTAGATCCAGAGAAAGTGTTGATGATAACAGTAATCCCATGGATATGGTACTGGATCGAATGGTGAATAGGTTAAGCAGAGGAGTTCCTACCATTCTGGTGTAACAGAAAAGATTTCTTGGGCAAAATGATCCCTGATCTGGGCTGAGAAGAGAAGTCAGGCAAGTTCATTCCAAGAAGAGTCATTGGTGGGTGTGTGAGGACTTGACAAGCTCAAGCTCAGGAACTGGATACTGGGAGATGGAGTATGTTGGGTGCAGTGGGAGAGGTGACCACAGGCCAGGTTTTGGCCTTGACAAGAAATTTTAAGCTAAATCTGAAAGTATGAGGAAGTCATTGAATGATTTTAAGTAAGGAAATAATGTTCAAATTTCAATTTTAGAAAAGTTGGTTTGGGTTCTGGGTGGCAGAAACAGAACTTGGCAGAGCCAGATAAACAATAAAGCATTGAAGTCATCCAGGTGAGAAGTAGACCGGAACTCAGGCAGGGGCAGTAGAACTTGGAGGCATTAAAATGGTGCTGGTAGGACCCAATGACCTGTTCAGTTATGGGCTGTTGGTGCTTTGTGGTAGGGAGAGCTGTGGATGTTTGAGTTGAAGAGGGCAAAGTGAGTCATGAGGAGGGCACAAGGGTGCCATTGAGAGGGTTCTGGGCAAGTCTGATGCTGGGGTGTGGGGATGGAAGCCCACATGGTCAGGGCTAGAAATGGTAGAGGGCTTAGCAACAGGGACACAATGAAATCCACATCCAGCCCTCTCCTCCTTGCAGAGTTGGTGGTACAGGCCTCTGAAGATTCCAGAGCAGCTGGCAGGAGTCCTGGCTTAGGAAGGGTGAGCACCAGGGCGTCATTTTCCAAGCAGCTTGGGCTTGGGAAGTGTGGGAGTGGGTTGATCTTAAAGGGTAGTAATGGGAGAGAAAAGACACTGTCCAGTCTGTAGGATTCAGGCAGTGTGGTCTTTTCAAATTGCCTCATTTGATGCTCATAACAAACCCATGGAAGGGTTGTTTTCAGTCATCTGCATTCAGAAACCTGAGGCCCAGATGGCTGAAGTGACAGTGACATGGGGCCAAGACTCAGGGCTCCTGATTCCCACTTTAGACTATGATGTGGTCCTGATGTGCAGCTGTGGGGAGATCTTCTCTGCTTTGGGGAGTGGGCTTCAAGGGGGAGTCTTGGGCTGACGATCCAGCCCTGTGGCAACTCAGGATTAGAGCTGGCCACAGGAGAAAGGGCCTGCTGCTGCCCTTGGGCCAGGCCCTGGAGGGTGTCAGGCTGAACTGAGCAAAGCCTAGTTGTTTYCCCAGGACTTTCTGTCCCATTCCAGCTTTTCCATAGCCCCTGCTGGCCTACACCAGCCCTCACCCCAGCACAGGTCACCCAGCAAGTCACTGCTCAGAGCTCACTGTGGTGCCTCCAGTCCTGCCTCCCTGAGTTCTGTTTCTTGGACCTGTAGGGATGGCGCTGAATATTCAAGGACACGTGTCATAATGGATTCCATTTCTGCTTTCCCTAGTGTGCTGTGTAATGATTTGTGTTGACATCGTTCTCGACTGATACATTTGTGTGTCTGTGGATCTGTAGATGTGTCTGTGAGTTTAAAAAACTATTTCATGGGCTGGGATTGTGGCTCAGCGGTAGAGTGCTTGCCTAGCACGTGCAAGGCCCTGGGTTTGATCCTCAGCACCACATAAAAATACATAAACAAAATAAAGGTATTGTCTACAACTAAAAAATAAATATTAAAAAAAAAAACTATTTCACTTTCTCTATATTTCCATATGCAATAGATTCCCATTAATCCTTGGGGATTCATTCCAAGACCCCCAGCGGATGCCTGTCACTGTGAATCCTATATTTACTGTTTTTCCCTAAAATTACTTGTGATAAAATTTAATTTATAAACTAGGCAACATTAATAGTTAACAATAACTAGCATCAAAGAACAGCTATAACAGTTTGTTGTGATAAGTGTTGCGAGAATGTTGTTTCTCTCGGTATATCCTGTTTTGTTCTGGCCTGGTTGGCTGTGTGTGCGTAGCTGAAGCAAGCTTTGGAAAGCCTTCTGTGGCCAGAGGGGACCACTGTGCAGTGTGGCAGGTGGTCTCACATGCATCAGTATCTCCATATTTTTGCATCTTTGAACTTTTGTTGAATTTGAGATGCAWCTGAGCCTGGGTGTGTTTGTGTGTGATTTTATATCAGTTTCCAACTTGCCTTTGATTATATATTTTAAATGAAAACTTCGCTGCTCTTAACTAAAACTCAATTCTCAGGCAGAGAACATTGGCTATCCTGAGGGATTTGTTGTAAATGACAAGGGACAGGGGCCAGAAAAGTGATCTCTTCAGAGTCCTCCATTTGTTTAATTAATTCATAAAACTCAGTATTGAGCACCTTCTGAATATCAGGGATCAGGAGGGACAATGTCCCTACCTTCTTGGATCTTCCCTTTTGGGAAGACAGAAATGACCTTGGTTGTCTGTTAGGGTAGCATTAGACCCACGTGACTGTTGAGCACTTAAGTGTGGCCAGTGTGATTGAGAAACCCAGTTTTAAATTAAATTTATTTGAATTTAAATAACCACTGTGTGTATAGAAGCCAAGCCCCTAAAATGAGGGTGGCAGTTTCAGGCCATCTTGGTCACAGTTGCTCTCAGTTATGCTCCTTCTCTTAGAACCCCCCCATGGTGAGGGGAAAGTACCCTGGTAAGGGCAGGCTCCACTCAGTTTGGTGCCAGCTTCAGCACTTGCCAGCTGTGTGACTTTGAGCAAGCCTTGGTTTCCCTGGCTGAAGGACAACATGGACAGTGCTTGCTTAGTGCTTAGTACCCAGTCCGTGTTCACTCGCAGTTCTCTCCSTATCTCTATTGACCACCCTCCTGCATAGCCAGGTCAAGGTCGAGGTGTTCAGGGAGTCTCCAATGCCTTTCAGGTAAATGAGGGTATAGGAGATGCGCACTTGTGCCTCTGAAGGCTGATCTAAGAGCCTGCCTGGCACCAGGGTGCAGACCTGGCTGTCCCCTTGCAGGAGCTGTCCTGCATGCTGGGGCATGCCAGGGCATGCTGGGAAGGTAGAAGCACCACCAGGTGGTGCCCGCGAGGAGGAGAGGGCAAGGAAGGTAATGCTAGAAATGGAGGCTTGGGGCAGGTGTCTCCTGCCTGGGTCTCCTGGGAGAGCAGAGTGATTGGTGTAGGTGGAAGGTTGATGGGGTGAGGACCTGGTGGGGCCTCAGGATGAGGGCTGCTCAGCTCAAAGCTTCAGCTCCTGGTGAAGGCACTGTGGTCCTGCCCACTGGTGACAAAGGATGTATGAGCCGCATTCAGTTCCTGTTCCCCACCTGGGGCCTGAGTGTGTTRCAGATGCCTGTGGTTTGGGAGGAGGTGGGGGGTGTGGCCTTGCTCCTTGCCCCTCTTTCCCCAAGTTTCTGCTAACACCAAAGCCCCTTTGTTACCTCCTCTGTCCCCAGGCCTCACCACCTGCTGCAGGCCACAATCCACTCTTTGTGTGGTCTGCAGCTGGCCGCCAGGGCCTTCCCATTGAGGAGGTTCTTATCAGAACTGCAGCCCAACCCCTTGCTGGGAGGCTGGGTTAGGGGCAGGTGGTAGGAATAGGAGGTGACCAGCCTTGTCCTGAGACTCATCCCCTGTGTGTGACCTGATTCCCTGGTACTTGGTACTTATGGAGAGTGGAAGGGAAAGGTGGCCTAGCCCAGGTCAGGGCCCACGTGTACTAGACTAGGCTGTGGAGCCTTGCATCCTGCAGGGCAGCCTGTCCACCTGATGCCTGGGGTCTCTCTTGTCAGCCAAGTGATATGTCAGGSCTGGGGATGAGGAGGGACAAGCCAGTTCACATGATGGAGGGAGAGAATCTTGGGCATTCGTGGTGGTGTGGAGGATCTAGAAGGGGTGTCCATGTGGAGGGACTGCCTTGGGCTTGGCTTTCCCAGAGTGTGGTCTCCAAACATCTCCCACTTGAGCACATAGGTATAGTGAGTCCCCAGAGCCATGGCTTATCCCCATTCCTGACCTGTGTGTCCCCCTTACTTCTCACTTCATGCCCTTGGGCCCATGAGGCCCCCTCCTTCTATTAACAGTTCCATTTCTACCTAGACCACAGGGCTGCTCTCCTCATACCCTGGGGTGGCTCAGGACAGAAGCCCAGGACAGGGAGGCACAGCTCTGGGCAGATCACCAAGAATCAAGGCCCTTCTGCCACCTRAGGCAGCTTTTAGGTCCTGGAAGCTTCTGGAAGCTGAAGTAGATAAAGCAGGGCTCTCTGGTTTGAGTTAGGAACCTCTGGATGTAWTGGTACATTAAGTCCTGTCCCTCTGTCCTTGCCTCAAATTCATGGCCCAAGCTCTGACCCCTTCAAAGTCTTCCCACATCAACGTGGCCTGGGCCCACCATCCTCTGAGCCTCTTTAGGTGGATATTAAGTYAATTGGCAAGAGGTTCTCCAAGGAGTGGGGTGCAGAAGCCATGGAAGGAGCCCCCACTCTCACCGAGACCCCTCCTGGGGCCTTGCCCTCCCCTTCCTGCTGCCCACCTCTCCCAGGTATCTCCAGTATTGAGGGAAGAAAATACAGCAGGGGTGAGGGYAGACCCCTGTTGGGGAAATAGAGTTTAAGAAATCTCTATCACCCAGAAAGGCCTTCCACAAAAATAGAAGAGAAAGAAAATAGTTTTTTTTATACTTATTTTTTAGTTTCAGGTGGACACAATATCTTTATTTTATTTGTATGTGGTGCTGAGAATCRAACCCAGTGTCTCATGTATGCTAGGCGAGCGCACTACCACTTGAGCCACATCCTCAGCTCAAGAAAATAGTTTTTTATTTGTTTGTTTGTTTGTTTTGATTGAATAAGCGTTGGAAGAATGTGATGCCTTTCCTGGCACTTGCAAGATGGCTGGGCAGAGAGCACTCGCAGCTTGGTTATAGCCAGGCAGGGGCCATCTATCTTGCACATCCGTTCTCAAGATAAATCATAGCTGCTCTTCAAGAGCATGTGACACTACCATGTCTCATCTAATTCAGCCTCATTTTACCTACKTATTAGGGTGACTACTTGCTATCTAATTACCCTTACCCAAAGGAAAAGTAAGCTTTTCATATTTTTTTAAATATATTTTTTTAGTTATACGTGGACACAATGTCCTTATTTTGTTTATTTATCTTTTATGTGGTGCTGAGGATCAAACCCAGTGCCTCATATGTGTGAGGCAAGTGCTCTGCCACTGAGCCACAACCTCAGCCCAGCTTTTCATATTTTTATGATAGGAGTTAACTTTGCGGCTTGGAGCCAGGCACCATCCAGAGCCAGGCTCCTGCCCTTGCATGGAGAAGGGCCTGCCTTTGTGCATGTTGACTTTTCAGAAGGATGGCTTCCAGGTCCTCAAGAAAGACATCCAGRCCAGGCATGGTGGCACACACCTGTAATCCCAGCAGCTCGGGAGGCTGAGGCAGGAGGATCACAAGTTCAAAGCCAGTTTCTGCAAAAGCAAGGCACTAAGTAACTCAGTGAGACCCTGTCTCTAAATAAAATACAAGATAGGGCTGGGGATGTGGCTCAGTGGTTGAGTGTCCGAGTTCAATCCCTGGTTCTCTTAGAAAAGAAAAAAAAAAAAAAAAAAAAAAACGGGCTGGGGATGTAGCTCAGTGGTTAATCCCCTGGTACCAAAAAAACCAAAAACAAAAACAAAAACCACATTATGTTGTAAAGTTGGCAAAAGCCTTTTGGCTTCAAAAAAGACTTAAAGACTTATGTATGTTTCAAAAGGAACAGAGCCAGAACTTAACAGTAAAAAGTTTCTGAAGAAAATACTCAGTCCTTCTGCACCTCTGTAATTCCAGCAATTCAGGAGCCTGAGGGAGAACTGTAAATTCAAGGCCAGCCTGGGCAAACTGCAACCCTGTCTCAAAATAAAAGGCGGGGGATATAGCTCAGTGGGTTCCATCCCTAGTACCATTAAAAAAACCAAAACAACAACAACGAAAAACCTCCAAAATCAAGAAGGTGTCTTTCACTCTACACCAGGGAAATTAAATTTTCTTTAGGTTCCTGTTTACCCACATACCCCTCTCTTACCTTGTCAGAGACCAGATTCCAGTTTCGGTAGATATGCCCAGAACCCTCAGGAAGGGGACCCCGGGGGAAGGGGGTCTCGGCCAGGCGTTTCTTGGCTGGAGTGGGCTTTCTGGTGAGGGGTTGCCAAGCCGAGGGGGCCAAACGGGAGCTTTGGCTGAAGCCTGGAAGAGCCCCTTCCCAGGCGCCTGAAGCTTGGGCTGCGAGTCTCTGTGGGGCAGCTTTTGGAGTCCTCGCCGTGCTGAGGGGTACAGGAGGATGAAGCCAGGTGTGACCACAGGAGAGACCGTGGGCACTGGCGTGGTGACAAAATAAGCCAGTGTCTGAGCGCAGTCCCCAGCTGGGCAGCATATTTGTTATGTACCTCTCCTGGGGACTCTGTCCGGGGTTTTGGGCRCCTGGGGACAGTGACGAGCACATCAGGTGGGAAACCGCTGGGGCAACGCGAGGTGCAGTTAGGCTTGTTGCTGGGTACTGAGGTGCCAGGGGAGGCCRCTCTGGGAAGGTGACGCTGGGGAAGGAAGAAGCTCAGGGCAGCCAGGCAGAGGACGTGGGGGCTTCAGAGGGGACTCCCAAGCAACAGCTTGGGGCGTCCAAGAAGCCATGCCATCTGCCCCCAGCCATGCYCCAGGCAGGAAGGGAGCCAGCAGGAAGCGTCAGAAGACCACAGCCTAAAAGAAAGGAAAGTGACGGCTGAACCAGGGCCCCGTGAGCCAGCACCCTGTCTAGGGTGACCGTGAGGTGTCCTGGCAGGGTTCCTGACTGGCTTTGTTCTGGAACATGGGTGGGGACTCTGAAAGATGGGCCGCTGGTGAGGAGGGGTGGGGGCCATCTGCCTACTGGGTGCCTTCTTGACTAGGCCCGTCCTGCGTGCTCTCTGACCTCAGCTGAGGTTCCTTGTTTCTCACTTGGTGGCCTTCACTTGCCACCTTTCCCATGTTAGGGGTGTGAGGCTCTGGTCTGGGAGTCAGGAGACCTGGGTTTTTGTCCATTTATGCCATTCAACCACCTCTGTGACTCTGGACATGTCGGGGACCCTCTCTGCCTGGTTTCCTCTTGGTTAATATAAATGATGCCATTTTGCCATTTTTGACTGGGCAGAGAGGCGGAGTTTCAGGAGAGGGAGAGGTTAAAAGTCCAAGTCTGAAAGACTGGCTGYTGGGCAGGACCTGGTACCTCACAGGGGCACCCATACATTCCAAGAGATTATTTTGTTTGGGGGGAAAAATGTTGAAATTGTTAGTGTGCTAAATTGATTTATTCTTCAAGGTCAAGCTGAAATTGTACCTCTTCCATGAAGTCATCCCTTGTCGCGGCAGTTCACAGTATGGTGTCATGTGTCCATGATCTCTCTCTCTCTCACATCTTTTTCTCTCACTTCCTAAAATTCTCTTTAATAATTCAACAAGCATTTTTTTTGCCCTGATATCTGTTTATTTATTTTTTAGTTGTAGGTGGACACACATTATCTTTATCTCATTTTTACACAGTGCTGAGGATTAAACCAAATTGTTACTTTCACTAACACATGCTAGGTGAGCGCTCTACCCCTGAGCTACAGCCCCAGCCCTTGCCCTGATAGTTGAACACTACTGTGGTATCTATCTATATTGATGCATTTAAGTTTATTTWATTTTTCTAATTTAGGATTATATACTACCTCCTAAAACAGATGATGGAAGGACACGGACCAAGTCTTTTTCTTCTTTATCTCCCCAGGGCTTTGCTTTTTGGTAAATGTGTGCAAATAATGGTGATTTTCTAAGATCTACTATTTCCTTAGGGGTTTTGTGACTTTATAAAATAGCTTTATTTCAGGGTGCTCATAATTGAAACTAATCAATTAAAAACAATTTGCCATATGCTTTTTCTGTTTTCCAAGTTTGTCAGGGTATCTAATTTAAAACATGGAGGGGGCAGGAAGGGAAGCCAGAATTTTTAAAAACTGTAAAATTGCAGTGTGTGTTTAAAACTACATAATGTAAACTCCACAGGCTGGTGCTGTTAACCCCTGCACATTTGAACCGATGTCCTAGAAGAGGGCWGAGAAATAGCGCGAGGTCTGAGATGGGAGAGGGTCCGGAAGACCAGCTTTCATCCTGTCCCATAGGGCAATTCTCTTTATTTTGCTCCCATCTCACTCTCAGATGGCAGGGCGGATACCTGGCCAGCACTGATGCCGTGAGAGGTCTTCAGGGATGGAGAGTGGCCTGCCTGGTGACAGCACAGGTAAGAGAGAAAGTGGCCTCCTCCTGTCCCAGGCCTGCCTGCCTGTCCTTCCTGGAGCCAAACACAAGTTGCCRCCCTGAGCATCTAGAATGTACAGTTTCAGGGTGGAGACCTGGACTTGAAGGTCATCCAAAGACTAGAACAAAGAGACTGTGGGATTGAAAAAAAAAAAAAAGACAAAGCCCAGTCCATTAACTTGCCAAGCCAGGGGAGACAGAGGCATGGCTGCAGGAATTGAGATGTTTTAAGCTCTAGCACTCTGGGTAGGACAGCTGCTTAGAGCAGACTCTGTTGTTTGTTGATCAGCAAACTTCTTCAGTTCAGCCCAGGAGAGCTTCCTGGGGTCACTCAGAGTTCAGGGTCTTTCTTGGCTCAGAGTTGGCTATGATGAAACACAGCCCTCAGTTTTGGTATCTGCCCGGCAAGTGCTGTCAGGAATGGAAATTTTTTCTGTTTGGTCATGTGTTCTTGGCAGGAGCCCTTCTGTTTAGCTCTGTGCTGGGGCTGCAGCAGCCCCTGGCACCTATGAGGAGGTCTCCAAGCTCTTTTTTTTTTTTTTTTTCCTGTGCAGGGGATTTGAATCCAGGGGTGCTCTACCACTGAGCTACATCCCCAGACCTTAAAATTTAAAAAAAGTTTTATTTTGCACCAGGGACTCACTCATCATGTTGCCCTTGACCTTGCAATCCTCCTGCCTCAGCCTCCAGAGTAATGAATTACAGGTGTGATGCCACTGTTGCCTCTGCCTGTGAGCAGCTCTCCCAGGCACTCCCGCCACCCCTGCTTTTTGTTTTTTTAGTGCAGGAGATTGAACCAAGGGCCTTACTCTTGCTGGGCAAGCCCTCTACCACTGAGCTACGCCCCCAGCCCTCCCAGCTCTTTTAAAAAATTTCTTTTGAGACATGGTCTTGATAAACTGCCCAGGCTAGTCTTGAACTTGTAATCCTCCTGCCACAGTGCCCAGCTCTTTCACCAGCCCTGTCCTGATGTGGTGGGGGCTGAAGAGTGGCTGTATCCCTTTCCCCCACCAGCAATGGGGTCCCAGGGCAGGTCTAGCCCAACTTAGGAATCCCCCCTGGACAGAATGTGACTGGTTTTCTTATCTCCCCCTCCCCTCCCAGGGCAGTTGTCCCCAGAGCCCATGACCCCTGTGGAGAGAACCACCTTCCCTCCCAGAAAAATCATTTCAGTGGACTTAAGACTGAGACAAAAATTATGCCATGACTGGGTAAAAGATAAGCATTAGCAGCACGCTCCAGGAGGGGCAGTGTCATGTGTGGAAACCACCCATCCCGGGCTGGGTGTTGATAAGGACCCTTAGTTGGACAGGCTGGCCCTGTTCACGTCTCCCTTGGCACCTGAGAGCTTCTGTAAGATGTAGCCATTACGGTATTTAGGCAATCACCGTGAAGCCTAGAGCAGGTGTGCTAAGCACTTGAGGACACTTTCCCYGTATAAACTCCTCAGCCATGAGGTGGCTCTGACAAAAGGAGACTTGGAGACTCCCAGGGCCCTCTGTCCTCCCTAGGGCACTTCTGAGGCAACCCTGGGGCTGTAGGGAAGAGGGAAAATGCTGGTACAGATATCGAGACCCACTCCTAGGCTATAGCCAGTTCTTACCTGGCCAGACTTAAGGGAATGGTCTGTCTGAGTGCCACATTTTTCAGATAACTGAGAATTACCTCTTTTAATTTTTTTTTTTCAGTGCTAGGGCCTGTGTGCATGCTATAGCACTGAGCTACATCCTCATCTCCTCTTTTAATTTTTATATATGTTGTACATTCATTTTTTTTGTTTTTGTGGTAATTTAATCCAGGAGTGCTTTACATTATATACATAATGTAAAATTTATCAAGTTAACCATTTTTAAGTGTACATCAGTATCATTAAGCACACTTACAATGCCGTGTAACCATCCCCATCATCTATTTCCAGATCTTTTTTATCACCCAGGAACTCTGTACCCATTAAATGGTAATCCCCATTTAACATCTTTTTATTTTATCTGAGCCATTTAAGATTTAAAACATGTTTTTTATGATGACTGAGGAATATAACCTGCAAGCCAGAGGCTTTGTATCAATACCAGACCCCTGAAGGGATATATCCCTGGGACAGGCTGAGGGCCTAGCACACCCTGTTCCTCAGTCGCAGGACCTCAGGGGACCTGTGCTAGGTTTATATTCTTGTGCCCATTAGCAGGTGTGAGAATTCTATCCTGGAGTTCTGAGGCCTTCAGGCATGGGGACATCTTTCTGGCTGTGGGTAGAGAGGGGAAAGCTACTTGTTGGATATTAAGGCCAAGTTTTACCAAGCAAGGCAGTAACCTGGGGGGGGGGGCCCTCTGGGGTATTAATGGATACTGTGTCCCTTCTTGTTTGAATATATCTTATATTCACTACCAGGCTGCCAATTTGGATACTTAGTCCCTTAAATATCTCCCCGGGCCACATTTCATCACAGCTATGGAAACACTCCTATAATCAATTAAACTTATTGCACTTGGGTGTTCAGTTCCTGCCAAAAATAAATTTCTTTTTTTTTAATATTTATTTTTAGGTATAGATGGACACAACACAATACCTTTATTTTATTTTTTTTTTTGTGGTGCTGAGGATTGAACCCTGGTCCTGCCCATACTAGGCAAGCGCTCCACCGCTGAGCCACCATCCCAGCCCCAATAATAAATTTCAATCACCACTTTCATTTTCAAGTTGTTACTTTCACTAAAATGATTTTTTATGACCAAGCACCAGGGGAAGCATTATGAAGTTATTTGCAAGGAGGGAAACTGGTTCCTTAAAGGTACCTTCCATGATATCCTCCCCCACAATGACCCTGAGGCCATGGGGGTGGGGCTTTTGGCCCTAGAATGAAAGGCTACCAGATTATTAGTGAGGGTTTTTTCTTTAAAATATTTAAGGATTTAAAAATTATATATGTGTGTATGTTATACACATATACATACAAACACACATACATACACATTTCTGGTACTGGGGATTGAACCCAAGGATGCTTAACCACTGAGTCACATCTCCACTCCTTTTTATTTTTAAAAAATTGTATTATTTGAGGGCTGGGGTTGTGGCTCAGCACTAAAGCGCTCGCCTAGCACTTTCGAGGCCCTGGGTTTGATCCTCAGCACCACATAAAAATAAATAAATAAAGGTATTGTGTCCAACTACAACTAAAAAAATTTTTTTAATATTGTAAAATATATTTTAAAAATTAGATTATTTGAATATCCTCATATAAATTCAAAAGATACAAGCCAGAGTGGTGGCACATGCCTGTAATCTCAGGGACTTGAGAGGCTGAAGCAGGAGGATTGAGAATTTGAGGCCAGAGTTGGCAATTTAGCAAGACTGTGTCTCAAAATAAAAATTAAAGGGTCCAGGGGTATAGCTCAGTAGTAGAGCACTCCTGGATTAAATTACCAGTGCCACACACATACAGAAAAATTCAAATGACAGATGAAGTAAAGATCCCCTCTACCTTCTCTAGCCAGTCCTATCATTTCAGAGGACAAACACCATTTTCAGGTTTGTACACAACATCCTGGGTCATGTAAGTACATATGTATGTACATAGAGACAAGCAGTTTTATGTTCATAAATTGGGTCAAATAATTCATGTAATTTTTTCAACTTGTTTTTTGCTTTCTCTTGAAATGTTTTAGAATCTTTTCACATTGGTATATATAGTTATTTTCCAATTTTTTCAATTATCAGTTACAACCCATATCATGAACAGAATGATAATTTTTTAAAACTGTTCTTTAGATTGTTATCCATTGTTTACTAATTAGGTTGTTATCCATTGTTTGCTAATTACAAATTGCATTCCAGTGAGTATTCTCAGCACTCCTCTTTGTATTTGCACATATTTCTTTGTGTGCACATGTGCAAGCACGTGTGCGTATGCCCCGGGACTGAAGCCCGGGCCTTGTGCATGCTAGGCATGTACTCTTCCACTGAGTGACATACCTGGTCCACTGGTATGTATTTCTTAGGATAAATACCTAGAGTGAAATTCTATATAGAAGATTCTATACACTTCTGATTTTAACAAGTCCTGTTCAATTATCCTTCAAAAAGTCTGAACCCCAGGATATGCTCCCAGAATATGCCCTCAGGATGCCCTTGTGCCTACTTGCTTTCTCATGTTTCTGTGTATATTGTGTATATTTTCCATCTTTTCATTTTGCTACACTTTTTTTTTTTTTTTTGGTACCAGGGATTGAACCCAGAGAGGCTTTACCGCTGAGCCACATCCCCAGCCATTTATTTTTTATTTTGAGACAGGGTCTCACTTAATTGCTTAGGGTCTTGCTAAGTTGCCGAGGCTGGCTTTGAGCTTGCTATCCTCCTGCCTCAGCCTCCTGAGTTGCTGGGACTACAGGCGTATGCAACCACACCCAGCTTCTATTGCCATTTAAAAAAGTGATTAATTTTTGTACCTGGTAATCTTGCTGTATTTCCATTTTCAGTGGATTCTATTGGATATTCTAAGTTAAAAATCATAAGCTCAGTTGCCTCTTCTTTTCCCATATTTATATATTTCTCTTTTCTCCTCGGCTTTGCTGGTTTCTCAAGTATGAAGTTGAATAGTGTCAGTGATAGTGAGCACCCTTATTTTACTGCTTCTAATCTTTTGTCTTTGGTTGTAGTGTTTGTTGTAATTTCTAGTATACATCTTTTGTCAGGTTAAGAAATTTTCTTATGTTCCTAGTTCGTTCGTTCGTTCGTTCGTTCATTCATTCATTCATTCATTCCCTCCTCCCTTTCCTTCTTTCTTCCCTTCTTTACTATTTCCCTCCCTCTTTTCCTTCAGAAATGATGCTAAATTTTAGCAGATGACTTTTTCCACACCTATTGATATGGTATGAGGTTTTTTACTTTTAATACAGTCATGTCATGATTCTGTCAAGCCATCTTTTCTTTCCTGGGGAACATCCCAGCAGGGTTATAATATGTCATTCTTTTTAATGCCACTGAACTTGCTTTGCTAATGTCTGCATTTGTCCAAAGAACAGTAAACCTATAATTTCCTGCCTACCCCCACTTTTGTCTTGTTTTGATGCTAGAGTTATGCCCGACTTAATAGACTTTTCCCTCCCTGCTACTCCCCGTAATAGTTTAAATAGCAGGGACTAATCCTTCCCTTGAAGTTTTAGTGGAGCCTGTTTTTGCAGTCTTGTGGCCTATTCCCTGTCGTGGGGTAGAATCTGGCTTTCTCTTCAGTCTCTTCTGATTATTTATATAATCAGTTTTTCTACCTATCCTTGGGTTAGCTTTAATTGATATTTTCTTGCAAAACCATCTTTTTACAAAGATTTTCAATTTTTTGATATAAAGTCAATAAATAGTATTTTAGGATTTTCAGAATACTTTTGGTACTTTTACATTTCCTTCACCTAAAATCTCTGTTTTTACCTTTGTCAATACCTTTCTTCTACTTCTTTCGTTTTATTTTGTTGTCTCTATAATGCTGCAACCTGTTTGTTTAGACTTTATTCCTTCTGTGTTCACAACTGTTTGCTTTCATCTCCCCTTTATGGAATGAGAGCTTTCATGAAGTATAACATACATACTCTCATAGTGAATACACTCCTGTAATCAGCACCCACACCGACAGAACATTGCAGGACCTCAAAACCCATGCCTCATTCACGCGGCCATCCCTAGTTTGGCCAGCTTTGGATCTCCGTGTAAGTGGGATCATAGAGTCTGTATTCCTTAGTGTCTAAAGTAGGCATTTTCATTTGGAGTTCTGATGTTTGAGGTAGGCACAGAAAGCACCTCTGGAGACTTGTGCACAGGTGTGAAGTGTGGGCCAGGAGCAGCACGTGGGACTCTATTGAGTGAAGTGGCCTGGGTGTTGTACAAAGGCAAGGCAACCCTGTTTCTGCAACCCCTGTTTCCGGTGTTGAGGCCTTTTTGGCCTACATTCAGATCTGACCATTTTCTCCTTGTTCCCTTGGGCCAGAAGATTTCATTGGATGTTGTTGTTTTTTAGTTGTAGATGGACACAATACATTTTATTTATTTATTTATTTATTTATTTATTTTAAAGAGAGAGTGAGGAGAGAGAGAGAGAGAATTTTTAATACCTATTTTTTAGTTCTCAGCGGACACAACATCTTTGTTGGTATGTGGTGCTGAGGATCGAACCCGGGCCGCACGCATGCCAGGCGAGCGCGCTACCGCTTGAGCCACATCCCCAGCCCTATGTATTTATTTTTTATATGGTGCTGAGGATCGAACCTAGTGCCTCACACGTGCTAGGCAAGCGCTCTACCACTGAGCTACAACCCTAGCCCTTGGAGGGTTTCTTTAACCTCCTCTGCATCTCCTGGGCCTTGGGATAGAGAAAGCGGGGTGAGATTTTTTTTTTTTTCCTTCACAATCCACCCTCAGCCTGCCCTCTGCGTGTCCTTTCTGCCTTCCCCTACTGCCTTTTATTTCCCCTTCCATTTAAAAATCTTTGCCTTCCTTCTTCCAGCTTTTCTCTTCCCTCTCGCACCTGTTGCTCTCTCTTGCTCCTTCTTTGCACTCTGGGGAGCAGCCAGTGACCTGTCTCCATCCTCTCCCTTTGCCCCTGGCAGGAGATGAGCTGGTGATGAAGATCAAGCAAGAGAAGCCAGAGTGGCTGCTGCAGACACAGGCCGTGCTTCCCGAGAAGGACAAGGAGAACATTTTCCAGCAGCATCGGGGCCTCCTGCCATGCCAGACCATGGGGCGACCTCGGGGTCTGGGGACACAAGAAGAGACTGGGGGTCCAAGGTGGGCTCCTCCCACTGAGCAGGATGGGCTGCTGGCAGGCCGGGCTCCCGGGGCTGCCCCTGGCCCTCTGAACCCCACACTTTCTGCTGGAGAGGGTCACTTTGTGTGCGTGGACTGCGGGAAGAGGTTCAGCTGGTGGTCGTCCCTGAAGATCCACCAGCGCACCCACACCGGAGAAAAGCCGTATCTCTGCGGTAAGTGCGGCAAGAGCTTCAGCCAGAAACCCAACCTGGCCCGCCACCAGCGGCACCACACGGGCGAGCGGCCCTTCTGCTGCCCGGAGTGTGCAAGGCGCTTTAGCCAGAAGCAGCACCTACTCAAGCACCAGAAGACCCACTCTCGGCCCGCCACCCATGCGTGTCCTGAGTGTGAACGTTGCTTCCGCCACCAGGTGGGCCTCCGCATTCACCAGCGCGCACACGCCCGGGACCGCCAGGGCTCCCGCGCTGGTCTGCATGAAATGCTCCGGGAGGCCGCTGTACGACGGGCCTGCCGCCTGCGGCCCGGGACACCACGGGGCCGCCCAGAGTGGGCCTGGCTGGGGCTCTGCCAGGGCTGGTGGGGCCAGCCTGGGGCCCGGACCTCCGTCCCTGGCCCCTCGGGGCCCGGAGAACAGCGCCAGTTCATCTGCAATGAGTGCGGCAAGAGCTTCACCTGGTGGTCCTCGCTGAACATCCACCAGCGCATCCACACGGGCGAGCGGCCCTACGCGTGCCCCGAGTGTGGCCGCCGCTTCAGCCAGAAGCCTAACCTGACGCGGCACTTGCGCAACCACACCGGGGAGCGGCCGCACCCGTGCCTGCACTGTGGCCGCAGCTTCCGCCAGAAGCAGCACCTGCTCAAGCACCTGCGCACGCACCTGCCCGGCGCCCAGGCTGCGGCGTGCCCCAGCTGTGGGCAGAGTTGCCCTAGCCGAGCGGCGCTGCGGGCCCACCAGCGTGCGCACGCCGCTGCCGAGCGCCGGAGCCCTGGGCCTGGCGTCCAGGACCCGGAGCCAGGTGCAGAGCCACAAGCTGAGGCCCCTCAGGACTTGGCTGTGCAGCCCTGCAGTCCCCAGACGCCACAGGGGGGTGGGGCCGCACCTTGGGGCCGAGGGCGCGGGGGCCTGGCCGGGCCTGGGGAGCAGCGCCAGTTCATCTGTAACGAGTGCGGCAAGAGCTTCTCGTGGTGGTCGGCGCTCACCATCCACCAGCGCATCCACACCGGCGAGCGGCCCTACGCGTGTCCCGACTGCGGCCGCCGCTTCAGCCAGAAGCCCAACTTGACGCGGCACCAGCGCAACCACACGGGCGAGCGGCCGTACCAGTGCTCCGCCTGCGGCCGCGGCTTCCGTCAAAAGCAGCACTTGCTCAAGCACCAGCGCGTCCACCGCGGAGCCTTGTCGCCGCACCCCGGCCCCCAGGAGGAGGCGCTGTAGTGCACCGGCGCTGCGCACTGCAGAGGAGATTGTGTGTGGTGTGTGTGGGGACAGGGATAGCCTGAAAACTGGCTCTTAACAGGTCCCTCCTGAGACCCCATCAAAAGGCAGTACCTTGAGGCTCCGAGCCCCGGAGAACAGCATTCCAGAAGTATCCCAATTCCAAAGGGTGCCTGAAAAAGTGCCCAGGGTGTGTTGAGGGAGGAATTAAGATCAGCACTCCTCACCCAGGAGCCTGGACGAGTTGATGATGGGCTGCTCCCGTCTGTACCCCAGGCCTTAGGAACCGAATGAAGGGGCTTTTTGGCACCCTCCAGAGGCGAGAAATGTTCCCAGGGTTGGTCAGCTGTAGCACTGGCCTGTCACACCTGGGCTGCACCATGACCAGGGGGCTGTCCCTATGGTAGAGTAGAGACAGACTCCAGAATACCAGGAAAGGAGCAGAGGTGGTGGATAGGAGGGGACAAGCATAACCCCAGCACCAAAGCTAGTGCCACATTTAGTGGCATCCAATAACTATTTCTGGAGGGACTGGGGGGCTTGGTCCTTCTCCAACTCTGAGTGAGTCCTGGGTGTGGCTGGCCTGGCCCTTGAACTGGCATATGCGTGATGGTCAGGGACGGGAGTGCAAGTGGATGATCTCAGCTGAGATTTGGCCACTTGGGGAGGTGACTGTGCTGGAGGGAGCCACCATCTTGCTTCTGCTTCTGTCCCCAAGTGGGTGGGTGGCTGTTACTGACTTGGATCTTATCCCTCCTGGGGTTGCAGAAGAGAAAAATGAAGAACTGAATATTCCACGTGGTGTCAGTGTTCTTTCTGAACTCCCTTGCTGAAGCTGGCGTGTGTGTGTGTGTCTGTGCTCCCAGGGATCTATCTGTCTGGCCCAGGGCACGGAGCTCTTGCCACATGCACAGCAACTTCCCCACTGCCACTTCTTCCTGGGGCTGGAGGGGAGTTTTCTCCTGTCCCCTCTCCTTCAAGTCTGCTTAGAGTCTTCTCACATATTCACCCTACCTCGCCTCACCTCTTGCCTCTTGGAAGTCACCCCTTATGCTCTTTGAAAGCAGGGTTGACTGAGATCCTGGTGCTGATAGAAGCCAAGGCTCCAGATCTTTTTCCTCAGAGGAGAGGGAATTGCAGAAGGTGGGTTGTTGCGGTTCCAGGGTTGGGTAGTTGAGGGTGGAAGGAAGATGGAAGGACCCCAGCATGGCTCTTAAGGAGAAAGAACTGTACCTGTTCACCTTCTGGGGGCCTGGATACTTCTCTGAATGCCGAGCAATGCTACCTTTTTGGGAGCTGCCAAGGTTCAACCTCTCTTCAAATCTAGTTTAGGTCTTTTCATGTGGGAAAAGCTCTAAGACGGGGAGCTGATAGCAAGGACAAGCAGGGCGACTGTAGCTGTTCAGCCTCCCTGCTAACACAGTGCCAGTGAGGCATATGCTCAGCCAGGATTGCTCATTTCTGGTCCAGCTGTTGATCACAAACCATGTAGAAATTCCACAGTTTCAGGGTTATCACCCACCTGAACGCTCAGCTTTCAGGACCAACAGGAAGCCATACTAGAAGGCTTTGCCTGTACCCTTGTGACCCTCACCAATCTTAGATGCTCCCCTGCCTCTCTCTAATGCCCTGCCTTGCCCTGCCCAGGGAGCGTCTGGTTCCTGAATTGTATCAAAGCCTATTGTAACCATGGGAGGCTCAAGGGTCATTCACTTCTTCCTGTTTGCTACTTGCAAATCCTGAAATCAGTCTGAACTCACCTACTCCAGGAAGGCATCCCTGGGATACCATGATTCATTCCTGGGTTAGAGAGCCACTGCCTATAAAGTCAGACCTAAAGAAACACTGGATCCCTGTAGAATTAGTTGCCCAAGGGTTGCTGCAGACGGATACTGAAGAGATCAGACTGGCAGGCGTATCTTACAAACAGAATGTGTCCTCTTCCACAAATGCCTTGTGTTTAAAGTGCAGCGTTGGCAGGAATTGGGGTTAAATAATTGCATGTCTCCCCTCTTGAAAATTTATGAGGATGCCTGTTCACTTTCCCTGGGTGACAGACCCTCAAAAACTAGTGCTTTGGGTCACAAGGAGGAAGACCAAATTCCCCAGTGTGGTGTATGATTGCCAAGTATTCTAGTTGACCAGGTCAGGGGACTGACTGCACAGCACTGTTCACTAACAAGCCTACTGTGTGTCATGTTAGAATTTTTAGAATACTGTGATGAATAAGATGTTTCTCCCTTGAACTTCATGGATCTTTATTTTTTGTACCAGGGATTGAACTTAGGGACTCTTAACCACTGAGCCACATTCCCACTTTTTTTATTCTTGATTTTGAGTGAGGGTCTCACTAAATTGCTTGGGCCTTGGTAGGTTGCTGAGGCTAGCTGTGTACTTGGAATTGTCTTGCCTTAGCCTCTCAAGCTGCTGGGATTACAGGTGTGTGTGTGACCATGCTCATCTGGAAAATAATTTGGATGTAAACCTAGCTTATAATAATCTATGTGGTTAACACTTGGACAAATTGTTACCAGCCCCAACCCTCTTAGCAAGGCTTTCTTACTGATTATTTTCACTTAATCTCACATGGTCAGTGATGTGGTCACGGCAGGAATATTGCCATTTGACATATGAAAAATGGGCTGGGACAGTGTGACTTGTTCACCAGGTCATGCTGCAGATTGACAGCAATTCCCAGGCCTCCTGCTAAGCCTGAGCTGCACCCACTCCCACTATCATTGGTCAAGGATGGCACAGTATTGTCAATTTCAGTTTTCATTCCCTTTCATTTTAAAGTGAGAAATTTGAGTCAGAATATTTAGGAAGAGACATATCATAAATTAAGAAAGTCAGACTTGCATGCTTGTAAACCAAGCAACTAGGGAGGCTGAGGCAGGAGGATCTCAAATTAAAAGCCAGTCTTGGCAAGAACCTGACTCATAAAGGAAAAAGGGCTAGGAATGTAGATCCATGGCAAAGCACCCCTGAATTCAATCCCAAGTACCACATAAATAAGGTCAGATTTATTATCTTAGTGCTTTACGATCTAAGATACTGTGGAATATTGCAGAGATTAAGAAGTTGCTTAGTGGAACAAAAACAGCCAAAAGTAATTAAGTAAAAATCTTGAAGGATTTTCTGCCCCTAGGTATGTAAGTGCAGATCTGCAGTGGGGACTTGTGGCCAAACTTTCCACAGGCCACATGAGTTTGGTGGGGCTGAAGTTCCCGGAAATATACTTGTTATTTTGTTAGGAGCAGGTTGGGAACTAATAAAATTAACCTAGGACAATAGCTTTGACATGCAATGTGAGGGTCAAGTCAGACTCCTTGGGAGGGTTTGGTGCCCACCACCTAGCTCCAGGACTGCTGGACCCAGCTGTGGTTGGAGCTGCTCAGGGGAGTGGCTGCTCAGCAGGTGCAGGGCACTGATCAAGGGAGAGAGCAGCCCTGTGCCCAGCAGGGACTTGGCAGGGCAAGGGGTGCTTCTGAAACTTTATTATTTTTAATGTGGTTTGAGTTTGGTAAAGAAATATCTTTGACCTTTTGGCAGAAGGAGGAATGTTGGGGCCCAAAATAGTATGTTCTCGAGTATCACTTTTTATCCTGGACACAGGCGGTGGCTGTGAAGAGAGGGAAATGAATGGTACCCTTGGTTGTCCCTTAGGCTCAGGAGGCGTTGGAATCACCTAGGTTACTCAGCTTTGGAGGGGACAGTGTCCTAGGCCAGCACTGCCCAACAGCACATTTTGTGCTGATGGAATATTCTGTATTTGGGATATCCAATACCATAGCCACGAGCCGTATGGTTCTTTTTTTCTTATTTTTGTTACTGGGTACAGGGGCACTTAACCACCAAGCCACATCTCCAGCTTTTTTTTTTTTTTGTATTTTATTTAGAAACAGGGTATCCCTGAATTGTTTAGGGCCTCACTAAGTTGCTGAGACTGGCTTTGAACTTGCAATCCTCCTGCCTTAGCCTCCCGAGTCACTGGGATTACATGCATGTGCCACTGCACCCAGTGCCACGTGGCTCTTAACATTTAAAATGTGACTGGTGTGGCTGAGAAATTGAATTTTAGCTTAGCTTAATTTTAATTAATTAAAATAGCCACACATGGCTATTGGATGGTGTAGCCCTAGGATTGACGTTCCTCTTGGCAAAAAGCTAGAATGTGGTGTGTGTGTGTGTATGGCTCAGTGCTTTGCCTAGCATATACAATGCCCTGGGTTCTGTCCCCAGCATAGCAAAACAGCAAAATAAAACAAAAACAAACAACAAAAACAACAACAAGGGGCTGGGGATGTGGCTCAAGCGGTAGCGCGCTTGCCTGCCATGCCTAAGGCCTGGGTTCGATCCTCAGCACCACATACAAACAAAGATGTTGTGTCCGMTGAATACTAAAATAAATAAATAAATAATTCTCTCAAAAAACAAAACAAAACAAAAAACAACAAACTAGAAGACTTGCCTTCTCTCCCCTCCCACTCTGTGGCCCAAATCTAGAAAGATTTTTGGTTTCTTTGTTGGGAATAGGGATAGAGTCGGTTTTGGGGTAGAATGCTATCTTTGCTCTTTAGACTGTGGGACCTTGGCAGGTGACCTATGTTAAGCATATAGTATAGTGCTGGGCACACAGCAAGCACTCAATAAGTGGTAGCTACTATTTTATTATTAAAATAATTACAGTGGCCCATGTGTGCCTACTTGTAGAGCAAGAGATGAAAAGGTTTGTTCTCTGTTTAGCTCAGTTTCCATAAAGAATGAGCTGTCCCCATGTCAAGTAGCTAAGTCTGCCACAAACTTAAGGGCTTGGCTGATTTGGTGTCATAGGTCATGTCTCAGCTTTTTTTTTTTTATTAATTCTAAGGAAAGAAAACTTTAGAGCAGCTGAAACATCACACTCACGGTTTCATCTAAGTTTCCACAGCCCATCCCAGCCCTCAAAGTTGTGGCTGGGGCTAGGACACTGCACTGTTAAAGTAGCTTTCTCACATGCATTTACTCATTCACTGACTGAGGACCCATTATATTCTGGACATTTGAGATACAGGGATGCTAAAAAACAGTTCTTGTCCTTTGAAGTTCACAACCGAATGGGGAAAATAACAGTGTGTTAAATTCCAAATTTGAGGTCATTACCAAGTGCTTTAGAGTGAGGTATTAGGGATGCTTCTCCAATTCCTGGGGATGGAAGAGCTCGTGGTGGAGACACAATGGAAGCCCTGGGGACTTGGCCTCATGCAGGAAGAGCTGGAGGCTGGCCAGAGCAATGGTCTGGAGCTGCCTGGGAGAGGCCCAGGGTCATCTGTCCATCTGGTAAGTCCCAGGGTGGAATAGTGCAGGGCCCTGTGCAGGGCTTACTGAGCTGATTTCTTCTCTGCCCATATGGGGGTCATGGGCCAGTTACTCTCCAGAGTGCCTTGGCTGTGAGCAGCCCTGGCCTTTGTTAGGGTCTAGAGTCCAGCTGCCACAAGGGCTGGGGGTGACCTTATGTCAGCTACTGCATTCCCAGAGTGTTTCTACATTATCCTTTACCACAGCATGTGAGAACAGGATGGTCAGCTGGGGGAGAGGAGGGGAGCTGGAAATCACAGGGTGGCAGAGCAGAGAAGGAGGCCTTTGGCCCTGGACATCTCTCACAGAGACCCAGGGTTTGGGATGGCATCATCTGCCTCCCCCTCTCAATCTCTAGATGTGTTCTTTTTGTTTCTATTTTGGTTCATCTTACCTAGAAAAATGCTGCTAAAAATATGGGTGCCATCCTCAGGTTCATTATTGATTTTGCTTTTGAAAACTTCAGTCTTCACTAAGTGTCCCCATTTCTCTTGTGGCCTGCAGAGGAGATGAAAACTGGTTGTCCTGGCCAGTGACAACTTCTGCAACAGGAGCTGGAGCACTGGGAGGTGGTGCTGTCCTGTGAGCAGAGAGGCAGGCAGGGGCTGTTTTCAGAGGTCAGGAGGCCCATTGGGACTCTCAACTTGGCCCTGGTAGATTCAATTCTTTGGCTTCCCAGTGTCCCCCTCCCTATTGCTTCTCTTTAAAATACCAGTCTCCTTGGAGGTCTCATTCATGTGCCATCGGCCTGAGTGAGGTGCTCTAGAGACCTGAAGTAGGCCAGGCTTGACCTGCTGGGACACCAGAATCAGGAGGCACCACAGCTTTGTAGGTTCAAACAGCAATTCTTTATTCCCGATCTCACACCAGCCTCCACACACGTTCAGGGGCAATTCCAATATGTCCGATCCCAAATCCTACTCCACGAGGCTTTTTCCAAATCCCATTTTAATCTCACGAGAACTCAACGGGAACAAGCAGCAGGAACACCCTAATCCCAGCATCAATAATCTTCAACCTCAACTTCCCTAAAACTCCTATTGTCACGCCCTAAACCCAAGGACGGAGATACTTCCTGCAGGAATACACCCTAATCCTGGATCCACCCTGGTGATTGAGCAGGGTCACCTTTCTCAAACACACAAGCAAGGTCGCAGCAAATTTCCAAGGCAAGTCCATTTAACATGGGGTACACTGGCAAGGATTACGATGCGTCATACCTACTTGGTAATGGCCCTCAGCACTCAGGGTAAGCTGTGAAAGCATCAGTGCCTGGCCTCCAGGTCTGGTGTCCTGAGCAAGGTGCTGATTTTACTGCCTAGTGGCCCCCTGCAATGCTTCAGTTCTCAGGCTCTGAAAAACGCACTGTGGAGCCTGGATCTCCCAACGCTCTCATGAGGGACAGCTCCACACTAAAGTTACATCCGCCATTTGCTGGAAGGGGTCCCCCTGAGTCCTGGGGAATCTCAACTACTCCCTTCGTGGGGCAGCTCCCAAGGGGCCCAGAGCTGAAGCCTTAATGTCCCTTGAGCCCTGGTAGCTTTACACTCTCCCTCCCAGGCCCGCTGACTGCCATCATATCCTTTGTGTTTGTCTGCGGGTCTTGGGCCTAGTAGGGTGGTACAGAGGACACAGTCACGAGGCCACTCCCATCTGGGCTCTGCCACTCTGTTTCAAATTTCATTTTATTTGCCCATCTATAAAATGGGATAATGATACCTGCCCAATTTAGACTGCTTATGGTTATTGGAAGTTCCCACGAGATAATACAAGGGAAAGGACTGTGTAAAAAGCAAAGGCTCCTACTAGCAAGCAGTAGTGTTAGTAAATGGCAGTGGGAAAATGGAATTTCTCCCTGCTTCTCACAATCGCTGCTACTTTGGGTGTTGTAGGCAGCTCTTTTATGGGCTATCTGTGGCTTGACCACTGTGGGCCAGTTGTGTGGAAGAGGGGCTCCAGATTTTTATTCCTTCTCCTGGTCATCTTAGTGATTCTGTCACTGGAAAGGAGGTTTCCCAGAAAAGAGAAGAGGATCTCGACTCTCTGGCAGGTTCTTCTCCTTATTTATTTATTTACTGGGAATTAAACCCTGGGGCTCTTTACCATTGAGCTATATTCCCAGCTTTTTAAATTTTTTATTTTGAGGCAGGGTTTCACTAAATTGCTGAAGCTGGCCTGGAACTTGTGATCCTACTGCCTCAACTTCCCAAGTTGCTGGGATTATAGGCATGTACCACCATGCCCAGCTCTGGCAGGTGCTTGATTTAGGACACAGAAAGGAATTTAGGACACATCAGAGAAGGCACTAAGGCTTATTTAAGAAAGACAGACATTTATTTAGGAAAGTAAGCAACAGAGTCGAATATACAAAGGGAGAATTTCAGATGCTGGATAGTGAGAGATACTTTGGCCTTGAGCTCTTCATTTTATTTATTAATTTATTTTTTTTATAACTTTTTTGGTAACAGTAGGCATTGAACCCAGGGGGACTTTATCATTGAGTCAGATCCCCAGTGCTTTTTATTTTTTCTTTTAAGATAGGGTTTTACTAGGTTGCCCAGTTTAACCCCCAACTCTTAGATCCTCCTTCAGCCTCCCAGGTAGCTGGGACTACAGGCATGTGCCACTGTCCTGCTTATGCTCTTTTTAAAGGAAATTGTGTAAGCGGTGTACAAGAGAAGTGTGTGGGGGGTGATGTCAGCATGATGAGCTCAGTTTTTTTAAAAATCATGGAGCACAGGGCAATTCCCTGTGGTCTGAGTCTTTCAGGATCTCTAGGATGATGTCAGCCAGTGAATAGATAGCTTTTGAAAAATACCCACCCATACTGTAAATTAAAAAAAAAAAAAATATTTTCAATCTTTTCTCCCTCACTTAAAAAAAGTTTGTTATAGTTGCATATTATTAAAGTTTTTTTTTTTTAGTTGTAGTTGGACACAATATCTTCATTTATTTATTTTTATGTGGTGCTGAGGATCCAACCCAGGGCCCTGTGCGTGCTAGGCAAGTGCTCTACCACTGAGCCACAATCCCAGCCCCATATTATTAAAGTTTTTAACAATATTTTCCCCTTGACTTTATTTAGCCTAAAGAAAATACATTGTATAAGCCAGGCCTATAATCCCAGGGACTCAGGTGTCTGAGGCAGGAAGGCTGCAAGGACGAGGCCAGCCTCAGCAACTGAGTCCCTAAACAATTTAGCGAGCCGCTGTCTCAAACACACACACACACACACACACACACACACACACACACACACACTAATAATAAGGACTGGGGATGTAGCTCAGTGGTGCAACACCCCTGGGTTAAATCATCATCATAATCATCATAATAGTTGTATGAGCTAACAATGTATGTAGGCATTAATCATCTGGACTCACAATACTACTCTAAGATTTAAGGCTTTTACAAATTTAGGCCTGGAGGAAAACAGGCTTGTAAGGTGAGGGTGTTAATAGGCCTTCTTGGATTTAGAGTTTCCCCCTTCCCTGCTAGTTCCCTTTCTGCCTATCCTTTTTTTCCATCGGGCTTCGGTAGCACCCAGGCATGTAGTTTCGAGGGCTTGGATCTGCCCTCATAACCCTCWGCGGTTTCCGGCCCACAGACACTCTATGGGGCTCCTGCGATGACCTCGTTCTCTCTCCTACGATGACCCCTCTCTCTCTCTCCTGGAGCTCAGGGACAGCCATGTTGCCTCCAGCGCCCCCACTCTGTCTCCTAGTCGCTGGGAGACAGGCATCCTATGGGCCTGGCCAGGCTATTCCAGCCCTGGGAAAAGGGAGATTGAAGATGATGCTCTAATTACCGAATTTGGACCTGGGGAATTCTGAAAGAGGAATGGCTAGGGCGGGGGCCCTGGAGGCTTGGGGTGACCCGCCCCGCAGGGCTTTCTGGCCCTGGTGCCGGCCGGAGCCGGGTCCCCTCTCCTGCCTAGGCGGGCGAGGCGCTTGCAACCTTCCTTTTTCCACCAGCCAGGGTGTTGGCGAGTTAGACCTCCCAGCCTCACGGGGCTGCTGTGCGGCTGCGACGACGTTGGCGACTGCAGCGCTGCGGCGGAGACGAAGGGCTCGGGAGGCGGCGCCATGTGAGTCCCTGGCCAGGGTCTTGGCCGCGGCGGGAGGTTACCGTATTTATCCAGGCCATTGCTGGACCCTTGGGGGCGGGTCACTGCGGGCGCGCTACCGTATTTGCCCGGAGCCGCGCAGTCCTTTCCAGGAGTGGTAGTGCCGTGGCTTAATTACGTATTTATCCTGGGTCGCGTGGTTCCGCGGGGGGCGCTGCGGGCTCAGGGGTGGGCTGCATTCACCCTTGGGGATCGGGGGCTTGCCGCGGACTGGGTGGGGTGCGGCAGCTGGGTGGCAGCCTACGTCTATTCGTGGGTGGGGGTGCGACGCACAGTTTGCCATCTTTCTCCAGGGTCGCTCGGGTCCCCCGAGTTGGCAAGGCTGTGCGCGAGGGTCGGGTGAGGCGGGGTGAGCTCTTTCGGTTAATGCAACTCTTCAGCAAGAAGGACGTGGAGGGGGGCTTGCTGATTTTTCTGGGGGCGGGGGAGGAGGGGCGCGGAGGCGCTGCGGGAGAGTTACCGTATTTGCGTTGGGCGGCGCAGACTCTAGAGGAAAGAGCTGTCGCTGGAGACTGGAGAAGCGGGGGTGCAGCCTGGGCTGTGAGTGTGCAAGGGGTGGAGGAACTTGGGGGAGGGACAGGGGCCGTGGCCTTGGACCCTCTAGGCGGGAGGAGCCTCTGTCGGGGTTGGACCCCGGAGGAGTGGGGAGGCTGCCCAGTGACAGGCTGAATTGATGGAGGGGACTTTGATGGCTTGGGGTCTACCGCCAGTGGTACTTGTCCCCCAACTCCCAGGGTGAATGATTGCCTGTTCCCCTGGAAGACAGAAGGGTGTCCCTGAGACCCCACTCTGCAGGCGGATTGACTGAGGCTGGAAGTGGGAGGGGCCTGCAGGGTGGTAAAGGGGAACAGCCAGCAAGCTTCCCTAGTGAGGTGGGGGGGTGGGTGGAGTTGTGGGTTGTGCAGAGCAGTCCCAGTGCCCTGAAGGAGTTTTTTGGGGTATATGGGAGTGGTGGCAGTAGATAGTGCCCCTACAGGAGCAGTGGTCCTTTGGGAATAGTTGGCTCTGCCGTGGTTGGGATGGTGGTGGGGGTCTCCTCTCTACGTGTGTGTTGAGGAGTGCTTGGTTACCAAGGAGCTAGTGCATTGAAGAGAGCTTTCAACAGTGAATCTGGAGACTTAGGGCCTAGTACTGGCTCACCTTGCTGTGTGACCTTGGGTAAGAATATTGACCTCACCAAAACTCAGTTGTTCCATTTGTAAAAATGGAACTTGACAATCCTGCTCTGTTCCTTTCTCAGGGCAATGTGAGAACAATGGGAAATGATTTAAGAGGAGCACAGTGGTCTGGAATAGGATCCTTAGGAGAAGCAATGTGGAGGAAACCAGGTGCTCAAGATGTTTGTTGAACTCCAGTATTGCTCAGTCTTGGGCCAGGCTTTGCTGTGGGGACACTGAGAGGAATCAAGCTGAGACCTGGCCCTGGGAACCCACTGGTTCAGTGATTTGCACACCTTTTAAACACATGCCTCATTTTGATAAACAAAGAGCTTCTCCCTTTAATGTTTAATCCAGTGAGGTCACTTTCAAGTCCAGAATTTTATTTTTGTTTCCTGCTTTAAGTTTTGCAAAAAATATCTTTAAACCGTGAGTGATCACATCCTTCCCTCCAAGTTTGGGGTGCACCTCCCACCCCCTCTCCTTGAGAATCTGCTTAGAGAGGTAAGGTGTATCCAGGTGAAGACTAAAACTACTAGGAGCTCATGGATGGTCCCCATAGGCATTTATTGCAGGTCTTATGGGTAGCAGGCGAAGTGCTTGGATAAAAGAAGGCAGCTCTGTTGGTAAGGTGCTGGGGTAGGGGCAGTCTGGTGAATGAGGGTCACCAGGTCGGGCAACATGGCTCAAGGAGAGGCTATAGGGGTCTGGAAGTCTTCTGGGAGGAGGTAGCATTTGAGATGAGCCCAGGAGGGCAGGTAGAGGAGCATGAAGGGGTTATTTTGGCTTGAACAACGACGTAGAAGGGCGAGTGCTGGAGGTTTGGGGAGGTGAGAGGCTCCTCTGGCTGGGGGTTGCCTGACCCCTTCTTTCCCTTCTGCCTTTCCAGGGGCTGGTGATTGCAGCTGGAAGTGTCCATGACCGAGCTGGAGTCCTCCGGGGGCGGGTCCCCTGTGGGGGACGGGGAGGAGGGTCTGGGGGACGAGCGAGGCCTGGTCATCCACCACCCTGCGGAGGAGCAGCCCCACCGCTGCCTGCTGTGCGGCCAGACCTTCTCGCAGCAACCCAGCCTCGTGAGGCACCAGAAGGCGCACGCCGGGGCGGGCCGCGCGGCCTCCTTCGTGTGCCCGGAGTGCGGCAAGGCTTTCAGCGTGAAGCACAACCTCGAGGTGCACCAGCGCACGCACACGGGGGAGCGACCCTTCCCCTGCCCCGAGTGTGGCCGCTGCTTCAGTCTCAAGCAGAACCTGCTCACGCACCAGCGCATCCACAGCGGCGAGAAGCCACACCAGTGCGCGCAGTGCGGCCGTTGCTTCCGGGAGCCGCGCTTCCTGCTCAACCACCAGCGCACCCACGCGCGCATGCCCGCGCCGCACCCGCGCCGCCCCGGCGTCTTCGGGGAGCGGCGGCCCTACTTCTGCCCGCGCTGCGGCAAGAGCTTCGCGCGCGAGGGCTCGCTCAAGTCCCACCAGCGCAGCCACGGCCACGGGGCCGAGGGCCAGGCGGCCCACCTAGGCCGCGTGCTATGACAAGCACGTGGCCTGCCACCCTCAGCTGCCTCCAGGCCCAGAGCGGCGTCCCGGGGCCCTGGAGATGGAGCTGGGCTGAGGCCCTCTCTCTGGACAGGATCCCGGGAGAGGGACAACACTGGCTTGGGGTGTCAAGTTTAAGACCGGATGCAGCTGCTTTGGGCTCTTGCGTTGGTTTTCCTCGGGCTCTTGTAGCCTTAAGCAGGTGAGGCCTGCAGGGCGGCTTGAAGCCCCAGAGGTCCAGAGGTGTCAGGGGCGGGCGGGTGAGTGTGTGGGGAGCAAGCTGGGTTTGTAGCTCTGGTTATGACGAGCTGTTTACCAAATCGTCATCCCCAGAATGTCAGAGTTGACAGCGACTTGGAGAGGGCCACTTTCCACAATCCCCAGGTCCAGTCTCAGTCCCAAGGCCTCCTTCACCCACTTTGTGGTGTCCTTAAGAAGTCATTGCACTTCGTGTCTCAGTTTGTTCATCTGTAAGTGGAGGATCAATTTGAGAGTCTCCTCCTCCCTGGGGTATTGTGAGGATTTGCTGTTAGGAGAGGGTAGCATCATGAGTGTGCGCTGTGCTGTGCTATGCTGCACTCTCAGAAGGAGGCATAGGTGAGGACCACAGCCCAGTCACTCGTGTGTGACTGATGCCTACACAGGATATGGGCTGTAGTGGGAACAATCTGTGAAGTTTCTGGGAGAGAGGTGACTAGAGTCACTTGGGGGAATGCCATGGCTTTGAACTGGCCCTGGGGATGAATAGACTTGCTCCAGAAGGGCAAGTATGTGGAAGGATTTGGGAAGTGAGGTTTTCTTAGTGGAGGTTCTAATTTGCCCTAGGAAGGACTTTGTGGTAAGGGAGGAGGGACCTCGGAGACTTAATGAGAACCTAGTGGGCTCAGACCTGTGCTTTAAAGGCACTGTGAGGACAGATGGAAGACCCAGAGCCTGGGGCCAACCAGGCAGAAGATGAAGCTCCAGCTAAGATGCTTGGCTGAGGTCACAGTGCGAATGGGGTGAGCCCAGCCGGAACTTGCCTCCAGGACCTCTGATTGCAAGTTGGTGCTCAGAGGCACAGACCTCTTCAGCTGATTGGCAGATGTAGAAATGGTCTTCTCCAAGCTTGTCCCAAGTCCCAGTACTCAGCACAGTGGCTAAGGTCAGGCTTTGTTTTGGATTCTGGACCCCAAGACCCTTCAGCTGTACTGCTGAAAAATACAAAATGGAGCTGAGAGGATTCTAGCATGTGGCTGGGGGTCATGTGAAGGAGCCCAGGCAGGGCCATCACTGGGTGGTGCAGATGCCTGAGGGCATACAGATGATGGACGCTGCTGCTCCCAGAGCCCTTGCTTCCCATTCAAGTCTGTGCTGAGTGCTGGAGACCTGTTCCTTCTTCCCTCTGCCCTCTCTGTCCTTCCTCAATGCAGTGTGGCTCCTCAGAGATCGATTTCCTTCTGCCTGCTACCTTTGGTAGTTGTTGCAATGTGGACTAGCACTTGGTGGCAGAGAATAAGATTAAGCAGGGTCCTGGGACAACTGGAGCCAATCACCCAAATGTCCTGACCCCAAGATGTCCCATCTGTAAATGGGATTAATAATTCTCGTCTTGCATTGTAGGAGGTTAAGGGACTTATTCAAAGCCCCAGGCAGATGCAGCGGGGGCAGCTGATGTCCCTTCTAGCTTTGGGGGTGGATGGGCAGGGCCATGTTGTAGCACCAGACCTGACCCCGATCTCTTTGTTTCTCTGAACAGATGTGAAGTGAGCAGGACCTCATGGCCCAGAAGGTGCCGGGCACATCTGGGCACAGAGACTAGGAATGGAGTCCCATGGGAACCTGCATGGCACTGCACCCTGGCATGAGGACACATCCTCTAAGAAGATCTACCTTGGGAGGTGCCCTGCAGTGACCTGTAGAGGTGACCTGATGGAACCTGGAATTAGAGGCCAATTCCAAAACCTGGTGGGAAAACCCCCCAGGCCTCGAGGGAGTCACAGCAGGGGCAGGCCTCCTGCTGGCTTCCAGGCCACGGATCTCTACTCTCATGTGGCTGCAGGGATGGCATCTGTGGCCTTTCTGCTCCTGCCTGGTCCGCCAGTCAGCTAAAATTCAGAGACAGGAAGTGACTAGTCTAAGTTAACGCAGCAGGTCAGCGGCAGGTCAGGCTTGAGGGCAGAACCTTGCCCCTGTGTGAACCATTCCTGCAGGCTTCATTTCCTTTCTGAGCCAGGAAGGTTGTTAACACTTTGGGGTCACGTGGCCCTTTGAAAATTTATGAAAATTGTGGACCTTCTCTCCAGGAAAACATGCATACTCACTTAGACTCAAAAATTCCAAGCAATTTCAGGAGCTGTTGGACTCCAGACAAAGAACCTCAGCCCTGGAGGCTTCATCTGCCACCCTTCCCTTACCTGACACAGAGCCCAAGCTAAGGCTGCCATGCAAGCAGTGTTTCTCTCTCCCCTGACCTCGTTCCCTTGTTTGGGAATAAAGAATTCTGAGGTGGAGATTCATATAGTCAATCCCTTCTCTCAGACACCAGTGCACCAGATTTCTGGAACCTAATTTCCCTTCCCCTGACGTCACTGGAGATTCCCTGGACTGGTTTGCTCCTCTGCATTTGTTTCGTGTTCTGCCAACAGGATGCTGGCTTGTGAAATGGAGCCTCTGCTCGGCCTGGGCTCTGATTTCACTGGGAGGTGTCAGGGAAGCTGGACTCTGAGGAGGTGGAAGAAGCACCAGTAAGCCCACCCAGGGAAAAGGAAACCGGTCACACTCAGACAAGGCTCCTGCCCCACCAGGGCAGCCCCAGGCAGTGTCCTGGGGGAGAGCTGGGGAGGAAGACGCTAGAGCCCTGCTGCTGGTGCCTGTGGCTGGTGGGAGAGGCAGGTGCAGAAGCTGTGTTGCCCCAAGCAGATGGGTACAAGTGGAGGGGCCAGGCTCCAGGCCAGCTGCAGAGCTTAGTCTTCACACCTGAGCAGGTCATCCTGGAGCCCACAAAGCTCACCTGCCTCCCCAGAATGAACTTCCCATCAGAAAAGGTGGGACCCACTGGGTTGGGATGGAAGCCAATGGATTCCTGCCCTGGGTTCCTGCTGCTCCTATCCCCCAGACAGTTTGGCACCTAGATTCTTCCTGGACACCTACTGTATAGAATTGCAGAATGCTCGGGGGAAATAGAGAAAGGGGAGCCACTCCCTGCCCTGGAGGCTTCCATGCGGCTCTGGTCCTTGGCCAATCTAGGGAGAACCACAACAGCACACCCTCTCTCTGCTAATTGTTCAGCTTGTCTCCTTGCCGTACCTGTGCTGTGCCTTCCCTGGTATTGCTCGGAAACGTCCCCCTTCTATCCTCCTCTCTACTGAGCCCTCCGTATCCACAGGKTTGGGCTTCCTTCTCTGTATAGGACCTGTGTGAACATACTGTCACCCCTGAGTACACTGTGCTGTCTAGTCTTGTGCTTCGGTTTCCTCTGTATGTATGTGCGTGCGCACATGTGTGTCTTGAGTCTCCAACTAGACTGAGCTCCCTGAGGGCAAGGACTGTGTCATTTCTTTTTGAACCCCGGCTGGTCTAGCACAGGGCTGGACTCATAACTCTCAGGAAACACTTGTCAACTGGCTGATGAAGCAAGTGCTGGAGCGTGGGGGGTGGGGATGGGAGGAGCGTGAGGGGAGAGGGCATATGAGTTAACTAGTGGGTGCGTTTTATTGGGCTGTGGACTGGCTCCCCTGGGTCTCCTCTTCTGGAGGCCTCAGGTCTTCCACTACTTGGAGGCAGTGGATGCAGGAGGAACCCCCACCCCCACCCCTGCCCGTGACTACGCAGGACTATACGGAAAGGGTCGTCCAGGCTGGCTRTTTTTGGAGGTCACTGACACTGGAGCTGACCAAGTGGAATAAATGTTCTCTTGACATCAGCTGGTGTGAAGAGTAGTCCTTGGGGCTTAGCTGGGAGCAGGGTAGAGGCTGCAGTCTTAGCCACCATCATTTCTGGAAGGTTAGGTTCAAGGTAATACGGTGCCCAAAGACTAGAGAAAACATAGAAGTTAGCCAGCTGTGGTGGTGCATGCCCGTAATCCCAGTGGCACAAAAGGCTGAGGCAGGAGGATCTCAAGTTCAAGACCAGCCTCAGCAAGTTAGTGAGGCCCTAAGCAACTTATAGAGACCYTGTCTCAAAACTTAAAAAAGGACCAGGGGCAGGGCTGGGGTTGTGACTCAGTGGCAGAGCGCTTGCCTCACACATGTGAGCACCACATAAAAATTAGTAAATAAAGATATTTTTTTAAAAAAGGACCAGGGAGGTGGCTTAGTGGCTAAGCACCCTTGGGTTAATCCCTAGTACCAAAAATAATAAATAAACAAAAAAAAAAACAGCAATGAATTAATGCAGTTCTCTCTGCATGTGGAAAGAGAGTGCTGTTTGGATTTGGGTAACAGGTATTAGCAATTCTCTGACACCAACAGCTTGCTGAGCCCATGGCGGGGCCAGACCTGCTGAGAAGCCTTGGGGCAACTCCCACTGGCACCCAAGAGGTGGGCCACGGAGAGTGCTCGGGTCAGGAGACCAGGCTCCAGGTCTGGCCCACTTCCAATGAGAGGCCAGCCCCGTCCCACCTCTCCTGACTGTCCCTGCTCACCAGCTTCACAGGGTCTCGAGAAACAGGCATGCTTATAAATGATGCTAGTGCCAGCAGGTCATCGTGTCCTTACTGATGTGGGACCTGCAGAGACCGTGTCACTTCACAGCCAGGCCTCCTGCCACCAGTGACCCTGGGACTTGGTTAAGTTCGTTCCCTCCTGTTAGTGGGGAGCTGGCTCACTCGGCACCTTTGCTCTGTTCCTTGCTCTCTGGGATCTGCAGCTGCATCACTGACTCCTCAGTCCGGGGCCTGAGTGAGTAGGAAGTCACTCAAGAACAGCARCCTTGAGCCCTGCTTTGCTGGGGGCAGGTCTCACGTTTGACTCACAGGTGCTTCTGAAGTGGTCACGGCCTGGCTTGTGCCCAGCCTGAGCTGGGCTTCAGCCTGTTACCTGCCCAGCTCAGTGGCCAAGGACGTGTGATGTCATGAATGACCAAATCATGTGTCCCCCACTGAGGGACTAAGTTCCACCTGGAGCCTACAGTTTAGGAAAACCAGAGTTGGGGATAAAAGCAGAGCTGAGAAGATGGGGGGCTTGGACTCCAGGAGGACCAACACCCTGCAACCAGAGGGGAGAGAGCAGGTGTGTGCCTCTCGGGCTGACAGATTAGGCGTCACCTGGGAGCCAGGCACTGGTCCCTTCCAAATCCCAACCAGAAGCTGCATTTTAACAAGATCCTGGACAGTTTGCCTGCCGTCACAGCTTGTGAGCTCTGCACCCCACCTTCCCACCGCCCTGAGGAGGGCCCTATGGCCCAGCTGTCCTCCTAGCCCTCCTGCCTGGAGGGAGAAGAAGGAGATGGGCAAGTTTTCAAGGTGTAGAGACAAGAGGCTTCTGCCTTCACAGGGGTCCAGATGCTAACCACAGCCATTGGCCCCTGGTTCCAGGACCTGGAGTACAGATCACACCACGGTTCATCCCCAGTGGGCACCTGGCCTGCTTTAGGGAGTTTGCTGGAGTACAGGAGGGAAGGCCGAGGAAAAGGCCAGTCCTGGCCAGAGAGCCCGTGTAGAGCACCTCACCCTGTCCTGACTCCYGAGGTTCCCATCTCCACCCTYCTTCAGCCTCCCCCAGCCATCTCCAAAGCTCACTGTCCTCACCCCAGTGATGCCTAGGTGTGAGGTGGCTTCCGTGGCTGCCGCTGGTGTCCCCATTCCTCTCCAGTGGCTGTGAGTGGTGCCCTCGTGGCTCACAGCTGCTTTCCCCAGCTCAGCCGATGATGTGGTGGGGCCAGCTCTGTGGCATGTGTGCCCAGAGCCCTGTGGGATCAGACAAGCTGTCTTGGCTGGGACACGCTGCGGCTGTGCTCTGCCCCGAGCTGCTTCAGCCACTCTTTTGCTCCAGACCCCCTCAACCCTCTTGTTCCCACATTGAGGGTCCTCATCTCGGGGGAGTACAAAACCCAGGCATCCTGCACATGGGAGGTTGGGACCAGCCTCTTTCTTTGGTGGCTTTGTGTGATGCTGGTCACCTGTGGGCCTTCAGTGAAAATCTGCCAGGGGGTTCATGGATGGCAGGTGACCATATCCTTTGTGACCAGCCAGGCCAGAGGACCTAAATGCTGGCATGGCAGCCCTTCACCAGGTGCCCCAAGCACCCCTCCCAACTGGAAACAAGGGACAAAGGTCTAGTTCACAGGTCGAGGGCTGAGGTCCTTACCACTTTGCACCTGTTTCCCATCCCTGACCCTCACAGGGCTGCCTACTGACAGCTGAGGGTCCTTTGGGGTTCCCCTGACTGCCACCCAAGCATGTTTGGGTGGTGAGGAACAGAGACCCACTTGGGCTAGAGGTGGGCTGTTCAAGGGCCTCAGGGATGTAGGGAAACAATCACATCCGGCTGTGCAGCCAGGCCCCCCAGAGTGGGCAGCAGAGGCCCCCAGACAGTGCTCCTCCTCCTCTGGTCTCACYACCATCTCTGCTCTGTGTGTGGCAGATGCTTTAGGAATGGAAACCAGCCTTTTTCTTTCCTTTTTTAAGCAGGAGATTGCAATTGCTAGCAGTTTCTAGCAGCAGWCACAGAAAGTCACCTTGAAGCAGACCTCCTTTGTTTCTGGAAGGTCATCAGTCCCTTGCAGTTAAATGAGTGCAGAAACAAGACCACCATGTGGTCTCGGACTCGGGAGTGTTTCAAACACAGCTGCTCCAGACCAGGGCGAAGGTGTTCTGCTTCCTGATGACCCAGGTGCAAAGGCAGCTGCAGGCACAGCAACTGGGATGGGCCTCCGGGTGTGAGAAGGACCTGGAATTCTCTCCCTGGTGCTTGGACACCTGCAAGGGGACGAACAGGGTCCCCTGAAATTGGATGTAAAGCTTGTGGATTYGAGGCACCTTTGTTTACAGCATCAGTGGGAATTGTGTCCACATGTGGGACAAGAGAGAGTGACATGGTGGTGCAGAGGGGTCCTGAGAGGTGGGAGTGGCACTGGATGATGGACAGAGGTGACAGTAGCTTCTGTTGGGTGTCAGCACACCCAGAAATTACTACAAGGGGAGAGTGGGGCTCCTGGAGGAAGACTATATTATAGAGATTGGGGAGAGTCTCAGTATCTATTAATTTTGATTTTGTGGTACCAAGGATTAAACCCAAGGGCACTTTACCACTGAGCCACATCCCTAGTCCTTTTTAATACTTTTATTTAGAGACAGGTCTCACTGAATTGCTTAGGGCCTCACTGGTTGCTGAGGCTTCCTCCTGCCTCAGTCTCCCAAGCCACTGGAATTGCAAGTGTGTGCCACCGCGCCTGCTCAGTCTTTATTTATTATAAAAAGAAACTTATTTCAGGCTGCAAGGCAGGACCCAGTGACCCGGCCTCCTGCTTCTCCTGTACCTGCTGCTTTATCACCCATGCCTATCCTTCTTTCTTCTGCCATTGCTCTTGGCTGTGATGAGGTTCAGGACACACCACCCCAGAACATGGCACCTTGGCATTTGAGAAAACTGTAGAATCCGGAAGGTTGCTCTCCCGCCCCTGGCCTTCCTCCTCSAAGTGGCCATCAGAGTTTCCCCGGCCTTCCTCTAGAGTAGGTCGTAATACTCTCATACGGAGGAAACCCCCATGACCAGAGCAAATGAGGGTCACGCAGAGGCTCTGGGAAGAGCCTGGACCCACAGGCCTTGCTAAGTCCCCTGCCCTGTGGTTGATGGGGTCGTGCCCTTTGTCCTGCTGTCTCACTTCTGCACAGCTCCCCGTCAGATGGTTTTGTCTGCGTTTCTGAAGGCTCCTGTGTCGCAGAAAACTGGTATGCGATACATCGTGTGCTCTCTCTTGTCCATCTGTCTTTCTGTGGTGGGGCCCCAGCCTCGGGCCTACGATGGGCAAGGAAAAGACACTTTTTCTCCCTGACGTCATCTGCCTGGCTCTGTTCCCGTGGGCCCCCTCGCTGTCCTGCAGCAGGTTGAGGTGTCTGGTCACCTTCCTCTTGCGGGTGTCTCTTGGGTGGTGTCTTTTCTCCCCCACCTCCTCTGTTGTCATGAGCCTGTCTGTTGTTATGGCTTTCCTGGGCTCAGGCCCGTGCCCTGGCCCCAGACCCACTGGCAGGGTGACAGAAGCCCGGGGTGTAAACCCTGGCCCTGGTCCAGGAGGGAGTGAGGAGCGCTTTCCTCAGAGGGCGTGTCTGACGTGCTGTTCCTGCTCCCTGGTGCAGCACCACTGTGTTTCTGTGTCCTCAGAGCCTCAGATTCACTGCGCAAGTCTCTCCTTTGGTAAATTACCCCACAAGGCTCAGCACTCTGCTGTTTTTGTTTTGTTTTGCGATTCCAGGAATGGAACCCAGGGCCTCATGATGTGGACAAGTGCTCTTCCACGGAGCCCACCCCAGTCCCTGTCCCAGCCCCTGCCCCAGCCCCCACCCCATCTCCCRCCCCAGCCCCCTCCCCAGCCCCTGCTGTTCTCTTTTTCCACTAGAGTTGTCTCAAGATCCCATCTGTTTTTTGACAAATTGTCCGTGTGCATCGTTTCCTGGTTCCCTTTTGAGTGTGCAGGCTCCTGGAGGGTGGGTGGGGCCTGCAGCTCTGACAGCGGAAGCTCCTGTGGACAGGAGGCTGTCTGCTTGCAGAGAGGTGGGTTTTGGCGGGAGCAGTGCCCTGAGCACAGTGCTGGGCTTGGGACAACAGAACATCGCTGTTGGAGCTTCCTTCAGCGTTTGTCACCTCCTCCTGGTTGGCATGTTGGTATAGTCACTGCTCCYTAATGCTGGGACAGTACAGAAAATGGGACTGCTGCTGGG